ATTATTTGCTTATAAAATAGCATACACACACTAAAGAGGGCAAAAAGGATCGATATGTCATACTATACATTGTACGTATTACACAACTTTTTGATATGAATGAGTTTATCCTCAAAGTTTGTGTTTAACTATGCATTTTTTGGTGAACAAAAACATGGAGCAATTAGACCCACTATCTCTTAAAAATACACTTTTATGACACAACATTTGTATCTTTCTGAGAAATATTCAGAGACCATTTAGTTAAGAGTCATATCACAAACATGATCTAAATGCTGCTATTCATCAGGAGTTGTGTAGCATAGTGGCTAGCATGTTAATCTCAAAGGAAATTGATACATGTACCTAGGATTTTTATTGCTGAGGATTAGAAACCCACAAATACCACACTATTTTTTATGGAATTCCATATACAACAGCCAACTGCTCACGGTTTTTTTTTAGTTCGCATTATAAATATTATACCTTTTTTGGCATTACATTTGCAGGAAAATAATTCAATAGCTTTTTTTAACAAGTAAGGTGGGGGGGGGGGGGGGGGGATGGTAAAAGTGTATATAACGTCAGATAAAACTGGGGGCCAAACTTTTAGTTGAATCTGTAGAATATTTGTGTAACATTTGTTGATATATGTAATCTATTTATATGAGAAATACTTTTGAAAATTATATTACAAGGCATTTTACTATACAATTTAATTCTGGTTATAATGCAGTATTTGATTGGATAAAAATTTTACTTTATATCGTATAATATGGGTTGCCTACGTCTCAATTACTTGAGTCAAAAATGTATCGATCCGCCTTATGTTACATTTAAATTTTGTACAATTTGAAGTTATTTTTTAAGGACAATAATCTTTTTTTTCTTACACTAACTGAATGAAAATTAAATTATAAGAAATGAATTTAATAGCTATCCAATTTATACGGTATAAACTGGGTTGGAACAGTTTACGCTTTTCTAGAAACCTCTTGGCAGTTTATAAAGCGTAAACTGTTCCAACCCAGTTTATACTGTATAGATTGGGTAGCTATTAAATTCATTCCCTAAAATAGTAGATCCTAAGCAATACAAGAAGTAATTTCAACCCCGGGGAGAAGGGGGGACAACCCAACCAAAATCCCCTGACAAATAATTAAAAAGGTCATAGGCATCATTATTGAGGGAGCATAACTGTAAAACCCTTACCCCCCCCCCCCCCTTCTCTCCACAGTTAACACCACCAATGTTTCTACAGACCTAACATTATCCATTAATTCGATTTAAATATGACACATGACACATATAAAAATCTCAGATACATGTACTTTTCATTTAGGGTAAAAAGAAACACTAAAAGATATTACATGTTTTACCCTAGGCAAAAGTTATGTTATTATGAGTTTTGTAAAATTTCTAGTATGAATACAATGATACATATACCAAAAATGTTACCCAAGACCCTACTAAAAGTTTGTTCTCTTGTCGTATGTGAAACCCCCCATCCCCCACCCATCAAAAAATTGAATCATCTGCCTGCAAGAAAGTGTGGGATTTAGATGTTTTGTTTTTATGAGGAAATACTCGAGACTTTCTTCTGATATACTCCATCCTCGCCTTCACAGTTTAAAAAGTCCTGGATCTGCCAATTTTTGTTATTATTGCCATAGGCTTTGGTTTAAGGATGATTTTGTGTATTATGTGTTTTTCTAGGTGTGTGTGAATACACTCATTAAAATAAAAATTAAAAATCTCTGAAATTAGCATGTTTTAAAAATATCTTGTTACTGTATTCAAAAGAATTTTTCATATATCTTTTATATCTTATATTTTTTAACCCCCCCCCCATTCCCTTAGCTGAAACAACAAAACCATTGGTATGAATTTGTAAAAATAGTAAAAAAAATTTCCATTCCCGTTGATTTCTATAGTAAAAAAAACACAAGTTTTACCAAAATTATAAACTTATCTCCATTTGTTTTCCCACATAAGTTATGTTTTATAATGAAATTTTACATTTAAATATCTATATAAATCTGAAAAATCATTAAAAATGTTAACATTTTAAATTTATTCGGAGATAGGCGGCAGAATATAACTATCCTTTGCAGTGATATGGTATATTCAAGCATGCGCATTAAAGTATTAAGATAACAAAATAGGCAATATCATCTATAGGCAGTGACAGCTGGCAGTAAGCAGTGACAGTTGGCAGTACGCAGTTGGCTGTCGTATATGGAATTCCATAATTTTTTAATAACAGAATAATTTTTGCAGAGAAAATTTTCTTCAGAAAAGTTTTGTTTATCATATAATTTCATAAATTTCAATATTGTGAACTTTACTCTAAAGACTAAATCACAAATTAAATATGATTTGTATATATCTGAATCTATAGACATTCTGCAAGCCATCATGTTCACCAATCTCCTTAATGTTGGCACACCTGATCATGATATATCTCTAATCATTGGAAGATATCAATTATTTTGATATGTATAATGTATCAATTCAAATAATTAAAATCTCTTCCAAAAAAATACTCGTAATGGTATCTTCAATTCTGATTTAATGCAGTATTTTGTTGAAATGAGGTGCAAAATCATGATTTCTAAATACAACTTTGTTGCTCTCTTCAAATGGATTAATATCGACAGTTGAATTTATGCATGCACAAATGAAAAGATATGTGCCACAATGCTCATCCTTATTGTTACATTAATTCTGTTGTTCTTGAGAAAGAGATTTTTTAAAACATACTCAGCTAAATCTCATCTGAGTTGCTTCGACTTTTGACATAACTGTTTATTAGTATATGCATGATGTTTCAAACCCAGTTTTAAAGAAATCATTTTAGATACGAATCTATCAAATTAATACACTAATACAAATTTGTAAGTATTATTTAACTGTGACATAATTTGCTGACATTAACATTCCTTGTGACCTTGAACTAACTATTTGTCCTAATGTTAAACATAGAAGAGGGTACTTTTTTCCATGTTGCATAATTAATTAACCCTAGCTTGGGCATTCATGTCCTATGGACATATTTCTAGCTTTAGATTTTCCCAGTAGATATTCTATGGTCCTATGGGACCACCCCGTTTCAAATATACCACACAGGGATAATATCATCTATCACAATTAATGCTCTGCTGGTCTTGGGAACATTATTTTTTATTGTGTTATTAATGTTGTTTAATGATTATTAATTTACATTATATTCTCCTGTCTTCGCTTGCTCTTTGTTTGTTTATGTTTGTCACAATGGGATCTTCCGCTAGAAGAGTCCATTTGTTATATTTAAGATGGGTTCTGCACGGAAGAAGATTCTCTGATTTAATATTCATTGGACAATCAAATTGAGCGGTTCTCCTGGTTTTAGTGCCTCCTATCGGGAGATAGCTAGCGCCACCTATTTACGTCATATTGCTTGCTTTCTTATTTTCAAATTTGGCATCTGTGCCATCCAATCAAATTATGGTAATCTCCTATTTCAACCCATGTTTTGGCCAGTTAGCGTCACTTTCTTAGAAAATTATCCGAGGCAGAATCCACGTCGTTTTATTCCATAATTAAGTTTTTTTTGGGCCGTATGAATTACTACGACTGTATTAGTTAAAAGTTTTAGTTGTTCCTTGCAAACCTTTACCATGGACACAACTTTCACCAGCTAGGGTTGTACATTTTTTCAGCCTCCCTTAGTGGTATGTGCTGTATGACTTTGAAGCCACGTGAATTCACGCTATCTTAGTGGACTGTGATTTTCATTGTGCTAAAGCTCTGTTGGACATTGCCCTTGACTGTGCAGCTATGTGTGAGGGATGTATTTTCTGTGCCCCAGAGGAGGTTATCCCTATGCCAGCATGCATTCCTTGGCTCTCTAGGAGTGCCTAAGTGTACGACTATTTTAGCACTAAGCATGTCCCTGCTGTTCTTGAAAAGAAGATGTTTAAAAAATCAAATGTATAGAATATGTATTTACTAATTTGTGCCTCCAGCACCCTACACAAGGGGACCATGATTTGCACAAACTTGATTTTGCACCGAGGATCCTTGCATTTTTAATATCACTAATCATGACCTTGTTGTTGCCGAGAAGATTTTTACTCACTCTGCTCACCTCAACTTAGTTAGGGGGAGCTTTAATGCAATAAACTTGGCACTGGCTTTCCAGGTTAAAGTTTTCAGAGCAAGTTTCCTTTCAGTAACTTCTGTGTCCTATATTAATCAAAGATGCATGGATGATGCTTCTAGTAAATGTTTCAGATGCTCCAATTTCAGCTAAAGAATTACCAATTTGATGTTTTTGGAGCAGGTTAAAGTTTTTGGAGCAGGTCTCATTTACAAGTAACTATATGCCCTATATTGACCAAACTTGCATGGATATGATACATCTATAGTGATGCACACTACCAGGTTTGTGCTTCAGATGCTTGGTCTGGCCTACATTTTCCTGATGAGTGACAAGGTTTAAGTTTTTGGAGCAGGTCTTATTTATAAGTAACCAAAATCCCTATTTTGACCAAACTTTCAGGATGATTTATCTAAGGATGCACACTACCAGGCTTGCTTCAAATGCTAAATCTGATGACTACATTTTCCTGATGAGTGACATTAGGTTAAAGTTTCTGGAGCAGGTTCATTCTAAAGTAACTATAAGCCCTATATATGTGGACCAAACTTGCATGGATGTCAACATCTAAGAATGCACACTACTGGACTTGCTTTTAATTAGATTATGGCTGGAACTGACCTAAATTTTTTGGTTAAGTGACAAAATTTAAGTTTTTGGAGCAGATTCATTCTAAAGTAACCGTTTGCCCTGCTTGGACCAAACTAGCATATATGATAGATCTATAAGGATGCACACTATTGCTTCACATGCTGAATTTGAGCTATATTTTCAGCCAGGGTAAGCAACAGGGTGGGTTTTTGGAGCAGATTCATTCTAAAGTGTCTATTTGCCCTATATATATATACTTACCAACTTTGCATTGAAGGTACATTTATTGATGCACACTACCAAATTTGCCTTAGATGCAGGATTTGACCTATACATTTTCCAGATGAGTGACCAGGTAAAAGTTTTTTGGAACAGAGTCATTCCAGTGTTATTTTAACCCCTACATGTACCTAGACCAAACGAACACTCTCATACTTGTTTCAGATGCTGGATTTGACTGTATGAGTGACCAGTTAATTTTTTTTTTAGGCAAGTCCATTCCCAAGTTAACTGCATGCCCTATATGGACCAAAATTGCATAAATTTTGCATCTATAGTGATGTGCACTTCTACATTATTAGTTTAGTGTGGGACTTTACCTTACTTAAAGACAACATTAGTTGAGGTGAGCTCTGTAATATCTGTTTTCCTATGTTTAAAAATTGTTTTCATATTTTCATGCCCTGCTATCAATATGGTCGGGCATAATTAAAGTGTTTTTTAATGTCCATCCTTCCATCCGTCTGTTAGTCAAATTTTGTGTTTAGTTCAGTTTTAGAAAATCAAACTTTATTTCCTGATACATATTGATTAGAGCTTTTCAACTGCATCAACATTTCTTTTACCTTTCCTTGAGCCTTAAATTGGCCTCACTTTCCTTATAAATATAATTAAATGTTGAGCTCAGTTTCAAACAACTAAAATTTTTCCTAGTATTTACCTTAAACTATACCTCGATATACCTTATTTGATCAAGCTATGGTTATTAAGCAGCATTAGAGGGTTTCAATTCTCATTACCGGTAACAAAACTGTAGGCACCTTAATTCATTTACTGTATTATACTGAATCTTCACCTCAGGCGATTCGAAGACGATGGTTACCAATGCTTTATAATACCAGTAAATCTAGCGTTAACCTACTTGTAAAAGCTTACCACTGGCGTCATTGTCTGTGTGTTTGTAGTAGTTAAGTATTGTAGAAGACTTCCTGATCTTGAAAGCTGTTCAAATGTTGACTTTCCCAGTCTGTCCATTCTAGACAAATATTCAATGTGCTCTAAAGGTCGTCGTGTGTTTACTTTTGTTATAAATACAAAAGTGGTTCGCAACCTTTGTTACGTCCGAGTTCTGTGACGCATGTTTTATTGTGATGTCATCGATATAAGAATAAGTTCACGTACGATCTATTTTTTATATTTTATCAAGAATTATCTACCTAATGTTTTCATTAAAAAGAAAGTAGCATAAATTTCCCGAAATCCGAAATCTGAGTTTCCTTTTCCATGAAAATATATTCCAAGCATTTTGTACCACGCAGCCTCACTCTTTTCTTCACGTTAAGTCATGAAAAATGGAAAACAACTGTTACTCAATAGGGAATTTTTTGCATATATACATGTACTATTATGTTACATGTATTCGATCCACGGACGCAGTGACCAATTAAGCACTTCACTGATGATGTACCTGACGTTTTTGATAAACACGAACAGATAAAATATTTCGTACACTGGGGCAATCAGTCTAGAACTTGGAATTTTTTTCGTAAATAATTCTGCTGCCCTTAAAAACATCGCAAGAGATGACTTTTCAGTATTATGCAAAATTGATATATTCCTGGTATTGTTGAGCCAGAACTTTATATTTTAAATACAATGAAATATAACAGTTGATGTATACCAAATATAAACATGATAAATGGGAGGTAAATTTAATTTTTTAGACATGACTTCAAGTGCCTAGATACAGTCAGTGGGAATACCAAACAGTGACCTATGTCTCAATTCTAGGTCCAATGGGAAATTTCTTCAGAAAGGTATATGGCTCATTATAGATAATATATTTGCTTAGTAATAGTGACAACTCATTTGGAGGTTCTTGACTTTCTCTTTGGGGTTCCTCTGAACTGTGATAAAATAATAGCAGTGTTGATGTACATCATTATTACAAATTAGCATTTTAAAGCATTAGAAGCTGAATAGAGTTTGAATGTATGTCATTGCCGGTAAATAAAGCTATAGAAATAAGACAGTAGAGGACACAAGTATAAGCTGTAAACAAGGTACAGTATACTTTATAATTTTATATATGCTACTGTAGGTAGTGAGCTTCAGTTACTCAACTGTTAATTAAAATTGTAACCAAAGGGACAGTACAATATTTTCTCTAATGAATGCCAAGATTGTGTAGAACATCAGAGAAGAAGGGCATACTTATACCTTCTCCATTTTAGTAATTATGATAAGTTTTCAGTTGTGGGATATATTGCAAAGAAACAAAAAAATAAAAATGTTTAGTGAAATACTTAATCAAAGTAATTAAGAGTTTGAAAATTAATTCATTACTATATATATTAACTACAGATTCATTTTACTCATATTCCAAATATGGAAGTAATCTTTAAAAAAAAAAAAAAAAAAAAACATATGAACTGTTGAAGTATGTTTGTTTCTTCTTTTGCAGCTGAAGAGACACTAAAGAGGAGGAGGAGGGTAGGAAAGAAATGAGTACTTTTGAAATTTATTTTTCAATACTGCTGAAAGCCTAATTCATGGTATTATGAGTATACAATGTTCATGTAAATTAAATTGAAGTTCACATGAGAAACTATTAATTAATTTTTATTGCCCTTACTGGAGAAAAAGAGGGGTGTTAACCAAAAATTTCTATCCATCTTGTTAAAGTTTTGTAAAATCCTTTTATCTTTGAGAATTGAAGCCTTTTATAAAACCATTAATGATGTATTTAAGTAGTGGTCATGGTATTCCACATATTGGATGGTTTTTAGTATGCATAGGTACACACTAGGAGTGTGGAAAGTTGCATAAGCCACAGAGGCCACATTACATGTCTAAATACATGAAATACCAAAAATAATCTATTTGACTGATCATTGAGATAAGATTAACCCTTTAGGTAATACATGTATAATATTTGTTGTGTTCAGTTTTATTTTTACAGGAAAATATCAGTTTCCAAAAACTTTGGAGGAATTTGGATACTACTTTAACAAAGGTAAATTTTTAGGTACATAAAATTTGAGAAATGTTGAATAAATCTTTCAGAGCCTTACACATATTTGAATCCCTTTGGTTTGCTGCAAGTCTTTTATAAACCATAGATGCTTTAATAGTAGCTATGGTAAATGGGACTGGCATAAACTAAGAGAGTCATATAATTTTTATCAAAATGATTTATGGGTGATTCTCATTCAATCTTATGTACCACAACTCTCTGTGTTCTTAAGATTCTGATGTAGCCATCAAACTGCTAGGTATTTGAAAGCTTATATGGCCACCTTTTTGAATTAAATATATACAATGTAAACCAACTTTTCTTCGAATGAATATGTGCATAAATATATATATGCATGAATAAAAAGTTCACAGCCTTCTCTTACTCATGAATATTTCTTGCCACAAATTATTCATTTCATTGTGTATTTATGTAGGATAATTCCTCATTTGCAAGAATTAGCCATCATGGATAGATTTCAAACTGACAAATCATTAATAAAACTTGTGGCAAATAATACATGTAGCTGGTTTACAGTATATCAATGTAAACTATGAAGAGATACGAAGCTCTAGGAAATGTGAGAAAACTATTTGTAACCTACTGTGCAGTAGACTAACAAAGAAAAGTATTTTATATTAAGTTTAGTTTTAGTCATTTTGGCTGCAGTATACTTGTGGTAATGTGATATTTCATCTTACATGATAGAATACATCATATCTGTTGTGTCAGGATGTGCCATAATACACTTGTTATAATGATTTGGTATAGAAGGAATTTGATAGATATACACTGTTCTTAGTGAAGTGAAGAAATTGATTTACAATGTTCTTAGTGAAATGAAGAGATAGATATACACTGTTCTTAGTCAAATGAAAGATACAGATCATTGAATTTAGGTCATTTGACTTATTTTAGTATATTTTGATTTACAGATAATAACTGAATTTGTGTATAAATTACTAGAAGACAAACACAATCTACAGAAGGTCACGATTCCAGTGAGTATGTCAACCAACTGCATGAATGCAAATGGGGTATATGAGTTAAATTTCCATAATATCTTTACTAGATGAAATGATTTTAAATGTATTTAAAATTGGGTAAGGCAGCCTACATGTCTAGCCATCTTCAGAGTGAGAGCACTTTGAGCTAAGTTCATTATTCCTTTGACAACCAGATTAATTCTACCATTTTTCTGTGTCAGGTGGATGCTGAGCCTGATGAGCCAACTTCTTTTTTCTACATGTCTGAGGATGCCCTCAATAAAGACAAACTTTTGATCCTGATTCATGGGAATGGAGTGGTTAGAGCAGAACAATGGGCCAGGAGGTAGGTTTGGGATGAGGGCAGTGGGTTAGGAGGTAGGTTTGGGATCAGGACAGTTGGACAGGAGGTAGGTTTGGGATGAGGACAGTGGGCTAGGAGGTAGGTTTGGGATCAGAACAGTTGGACAGGAGGTAGGTTTGGGATCAGAACAGTTGGCCAGGAGGTACCATATTGTCACGTGTAAAGGCCGCACTCTTGTAATAAATGCACCCCCAAAGTTGGGGGGAGAATCCTGAGAAAAACGCAGTTCCTATAGATAAAACGCACCCAGAAAATGCAAATATGGATGTATCTCTTATTTTCACAGCATAACTAATTCAAAGAAAAAGTTTAAAAAGTTAAAATATTCGTGTCATTTCAAAAAATACAGTAGGATACAACTTTGAATTTTCTTGGCAAATTCAGTTTACATATAAGCTTTATTTACATGTATTTAAGTTTAGTTTGTATTTTAATTGTTATTTGATTAGTATAAATTTAAAGCTAAGTCCCTATTTTTTTTCTATTATCCCAAGCATGTTACAATGCATCAGGACAGTGGGCTAGGAGGTAGGTGTGGGATCATGTTAGGTTTCTTATTAAGTTTACTTACACATTTCCCTGATCTTCCAGTATCCTTCTATCTTGTCCTTCACAGGCCTGTTCTCAGATGCAAAAATAATCAATTTAATGATGCTGTATAATTTAACTGTTTGATGCAAATTCGTTGAGATTATTCTTACTTTGGGCAGTTCAAGCTTTCAAAATTTTCAGGTGCTTTATTCCATGCACTGCTAATAAATCATAAAATGAATTGTAAAAAAAAAAGAAATTAGATGTAAGGATATTCAAGTATTTAAAAAAATCTTTTGATATCTATGATTTTTTACAGACTGATCATTAATGATTGACTGGACTCAGGAACACAGCTTCCTTTTTAGCTCACCTGAGCTGAAAGCTCAAGTGAGCTTTTCTGATCACAGGAACACAGCTTCCTTTTTAGCTCACCTTAGCTGAAAGCTCAAGTGAGCTTTTCTGATCACATTTTGTCCGGCGTCCGTCTGTCTGTCTGTCCGTCCGTCTGTCTGTCTGTAAACTTTTCACATTTTCGACTTCTTCTCAAGAACCACCGTTCACGGTAGCTCAGTCGGTAGAGCGCTCGCTTCGTGATCGGGAGGTCGAGAGTTCGAATCTCGGCCGCGACTGACCTAAGTCGATAAAAAATTGGTAGCAACTGTTCCTTCGCCATGTGCTCGGCACTTTGAAGTGAAAGTTGCAGGTCCTTCGGATGAGACTTTAAAAACGGAGGCCCCGTGTCACGGCAGGCATTGGCACGATAAAGATCCCTCACTGCTCAATGGCCCTGATTGCCGAGTAAAGGTCAAAATTTGAAGCCCTTCACCGGTATATGGTGACGTCTCTATATGAATGAAAAATTCTTGAATGGGACGTAAAACAACATACAATCAATCAATCTTCTCAAGAACCACTGGGCCAATTTCAACAAAACTTGGCACAAAGTATCCTTGGGTAAAGGGGATACAAATTTGTTCAAATGAAGGGCTACGCCCTCTTTCAAGGGGGGATAATAAGGAATTAGTGAAAAAAAAAAGGCATCATTTAAAAATCTTCTTCTTAAGAACCACAGGGCCAGGAAAGATGAAACTTATGTTGAAGCATCCTCAGGTAGTGTAGATTCAAGTTTGTTCAAACTATGACCCCCAGGGGAAGGTTGGGTCCACAATGGAGGATCAAAGTTTTACATAGAAATATATAGGAAAAATCTCTAAAAATCTTCTTCTCAAGAACAGCAAAGCCATGATGAGTCATATTTATGTGGAAGCATCCTCAGGTAGTGTAGATTCAAATTTGTTTAAATCATGACCCCCGGGGGGTAGGGTGGGGCCACTATGGAGGATCAAAGTTTTACATAGAAATATATAGGAAAAATCTTTAAAAATCTTCTTCTCAAGAACAGCAAAGCCATGATGAGTCATATTTATATGGAAGCATCCTCAGATAGTGTAGATACAAGTTTGTTCAAATCATGACCCCAGGGGGTAGGGTGGGGCCACAATGGAGGATCAATATTTTACATAGAAATATATAGGAAAAATCTTTAAAAATCTTCTTAAGAGTCATATTTATATAGAAGCATCCTCAGGTAGTGTAGATTCAAGTTTGTTCAAACCATGACCCCCGGTGGTAGGGCGGGGCCGCAATGGACTATCAAAGTTTTACATAGAAATATATAGGAAAAATCTTCTTCTCAGGAACAGCAAAGCCCAGATTTGTCATATTTATACGGAAGCATCCTCAGGTAGTGTAGATTCAAATTTATTCAAAACATGGCAGGGCCACAATGGAGGATCAAAGTTTTACATAGAAATGTATAGGAAAAATTTAAAAAATCTTCTTCTCAGGAACAGCAAAGCCCTAATTGATCATATTTATTTGGAAGCATCCTCAGGTAGTGTAAATTCTATTTTGTTCAAATCATGACTCCCGTGGATAGGGTGGGGCCACAATGGAGGATCAAAGTCTTAAATAGAAATATATAGGAAAATATCTTATTCTGAAGAACTGCAAACCATGATTAGTCATTTTGATTCAATTGTGTTTAAATGATGACCCCCAGGGGTAGGGTGGGGCCCAATGGGGGATCGAAAGTTTTACATAAGAACATATAGAAAAAATATTTCTTCTCAAGTTCAGAAAAGGTATGTTTAGTCATATTGATATGGAAGCATCCTCAGGTAGTGTTGATTCAAGTTTGTTCAAATGATGACCCCTGGGATAGGGAGGAGCCACAATGGGGGATCAAATTTTTACAAAGGAATATATGGGAAATTTTTTTAAAAACTTCTCAAGTACAACAAAGCCATTTGTTATATTGACATGGAAGCATCATCAGGTTGTTTAGAATTCATGCCCCCCCACCCCCCACCCCCGGTAATCTTTTCAATACTGAACTGATTTGTGCTTTTGCCTAGCCAATGTGCTCAGGTGAGCGATGTGGCCCATGGGCCTCTTGTTTAAAATGTGGTATTTCTTATTTTATTAATTCATTTTACATTTAACAATCCGGAAGACAAGCCCCTATATAGACGTATAAAATGTGCGTTCTCTTTAAGTGCATAAAGTTCATGATTAACACAACGTATGGATAAAATATCGGGTATACTGGAATTATTTTTTGGAGACGATAGATATATATATGTGGGGAGTGGGGGGTATCAAAGTTATGTGGACCTCAATTCAAAATGAAATAAAGGACCTCCACACGGTCTCCGTTCCTACGGGCCTGTAAACTAGTAGAGTATACCATGCTGTTTATTAAATTAATATGCTCTGTAAACTATGAGGTCATCGTTGATAAAACTTTTGCTTAACTGACATGGGATTATCTAATCAAAGAGTAAAGCTGCAATTCGACTGAAAAGCTTACAGGTCCTTTAGATGGCACTAATGAGAATTATTTCACCTATCTCTGTCCATATTCATGTTTATTAATACAAAGCACCGATTCTTGGTGTGTGAACCTCCGTTCTGATAAGCAGAAACAGAGATGGTATTCTCACAATGGTCTCTAGGTAAGTATACATGTTACTGTATCGACTAATAAAGCTGTGATTCTGTAAATTATAATTCGATTTGAAGAAAAATGAGTCGGTAAAATCCAGTGGACCTTTTCACAAAATATCCTACGTCTAAGACATAATTTTTTCCAATATTCCCCAACAAGTATCTAAGCTATAGTAGACACAAAGAATCTCATATTTTTTATTATATTACAACAAATTGTGAATAATCGTTTGGAAATGATTCATATTTAAACAAAGATATTACATACTTGTCAAATTTTAATCTTGGGTGTAAGAATTTTTGTGAAGAGCTACAGATTATTTCGACTAATTTGTTGACTCGATTTTATCGTAAACAAAAAAAAAATGTCATATGAAGATTAAAATGAAAAAATATGAATTCTTAAATGAATAAACACTTCGACCGCACAGTTGAAAATAGGCCTATAATAAAAATAATTTACAATATTAAAAAGCATGCTATACTGTTTTTTTTTTTTAAATCTGCAGTATAAAAATGTATCTGATTCAATGGTTACATGTACTCCTACAAGTAAGAGCCTCGGTTAACGTCCCTACGCTCCTTATATACCATATAAAGTATTTATAACCGATGTGTCATCAGCAACAATTCTGTAACTCGCTGAAAATTAAGAAGGATGACCAGAGAGCTACAGTGCCACCTACAGCGAAAATTAAATGTTTATTTATTGCAGGTCCGTAGCAAGGGTTTCAAAAGTGGGAGGGGCCAACTTCCCCCCAAAAAAATCTGACAAGCAAAAAAAAACTTAATTACTGTCTAAGTCCTGGAATTTGCCAGTGCTGGACCTTACAACATCAAAAAGTGGGGGGGGGGGGGGGGTTCCAGCTTCTGAAGGAAAATTTACTAGAGCAAAATTCAATACTCAGAATAAAAGTGCCCCCTGCCCCCCCCCCCCTCTTCTATGGACCTAGCCTGTATTGCGCACAAAAAGTTGCGCTTGATTCCGGACATCGTCTCAAGCCACGGTCCGGAGTCCGCATATAGCTCTCCCCTAGAGGATCGTAAATTTTGGCTGTGGTTTGCGACGATGGATTCCGGATTTACTTCTTCAAACTCTTACCTCAACTACACAAAAGCTTGATTTCAAAAAATTCCTTAGACCTCTATCAACTGCTGCACAAACCGCGATGGTCCGAATTTTTCTTGCCACCCAAAATGACAGTATAAATAGGCAAAATTTTCATTGGTCTCAATATCAGGCCCAGGAGGGCTATAAACAACGGTTTGGGGTGAGAAGGGGGGTCTTGTTGTGGAAATAGATAAAGAATATGTTAGAAACACATGGATAGTAATATTTTTGAATAAATTTTGGAGAGCTTAAGTCTCCTGTTTTTCATTTTTTTTTTTGAGATGGACGGACAAGACACGACAAGCAAACAAGACAGTTACAGTATGCCATAAATAATGTTCCATCCACTAAGACACGGGAAGCGGGGGGTCACCATTCTTTGAATTTGCTCTCTGAACTTTGATTTATATATAGGATAATATTTTTCATGGGGATAATATTTTTCTTGACTCTCCTGAAATTAAAGATATCTGAAGTTAACTGTTATTACTTCAAATGTTTTTTTTCTTTCTTTCAGACTTTCTGTTTGTGACGTTGATAGTTATTTCAGGTATAGAATATTGTTTTTAAGATATACTATAATCTTTACTAAAATTGACCCAATAAAAAGTTGAAAAGATAACATCAGCAGTTGGATTGGTTCATTATTCTTAAATTAAAAAAATTTACGTGTTAATCAAATAATACATATAAGTTTTGTATTTTCGGCAGAAATACAAACCGTCTCTGCTGGATTGGAGTGCATGAGTTGTACACACTCTGCTTCTGTGCGGGATTGTCAACAGACCACAATCAAATGTGGTGATGACGAGGTAAAACAAACAGGTATTTTAGTGTCGAATTACCTTGGACCTGTATTTGTAGATGATTCTGATTCATATTTTCTCATCGGCGCGATGTTAACTTTTTTGTCACAACAATTACGTCTTCTGATTTTTTTAACAATGTCAAATACCCCTCAAATAAAAGCTCTTGGTGGCATTATCATGTTCGCAGAAACGTTTTCATACACATCAAACGATTCATTTCTTTTCATTTCAAATTCTGTATTCAAAGTAATGATGAAAAAAATGCACATCATGTCAACTTTTAAAGTTTATATATATATATATATATATATATATATATATATATATATATATATATATATATATATATATATATATATATATATATATATATATATTTCATGATAAATTGATTTGAAGGTAACTTGCATATTCTTCTAAAAATGCATTTACTTTATTTCTTGTAACTTTTTCTCACTTTCAAGACCCTCCTTCATTTCCATGTGCCAGTTAGAGATCCGTTGCATACATATTCGTTTGCAGCCCTCCACCGGCAAGTGGTGGCGTCTCAATATGAGTGAAAAATTCTCAAAGGGACGTTAAACAAGCAAGCAAACAAACATATTCAATCCAGTCCAAATAGTCAAACAACGGATTAATTCGCAATCTCTTTTTTTTTGTTATAATATTTGTTATTTCTGTCAAAAATCTTTTATGCACAAATTATTTTCAATTTTTTTTTGAGGGGGGGGGGGGGGGTGAAGGTGCCAAAAACGTTTGAAAAATTAATACATGTATACTGATTTGTTCGCTATCGATACTTTTATGTACAACAATGTAAACTGTTGGAGTTTGAATTTTTTTTTCTGAAATGTAAAATTAAAGCCAGGGCTTATAGCAAAGGTCGACTTTAAAAAATAAAAAAAAAAAAAAAAAAAAAAAAAAAAACATATTTCAGAGCATATAACGTCACTACCTTTTTTCCAAAAACATTTCAATTTCTCAAGAAAAGATAAACTAAACGAACAAAATAGCCAGTGTAATGTTTTGTTATTTGTATTTTGTGCCTTAATGTATTATATCTCGTTGTTTCTATTTACAGGAATGTTACCTGGAGAAAAGAACTACTTCACATTTATCTTTGTCATACTCCGCTGGTTGTAGGAGCAAAGTGGTAATTCTATAAACAGTTAATATTTAGTGGTGCATCTTATGTTTTGTCAGTCTGTTTTGGTATGTATAAATTTTCGAATAGTAGACTGTAATTAAACATAATGTAGATCTATATAAACTTTATTATCGAAAAAATATCACTCAAAAACGAGGAATTATCTGAAGAATATGAATTGATATGTAACAAGTATTTTTTATTTGACAGATATTCCCCCTAAAACGAAAATGCAAATATAAAATAATACAACATAAAGATACACTTTATTAATAATGATCATGCATGTCTTTTTTCCCTAAAGAATAAAGTTTATTCTCTGCAGGTTTGTAACATTATGGCGTCACTCGGTTCTCTAAGAACCGGAAGATCAAACCACCTGGACACAGTCTTTGGAAAACGAGACCTCCTAAACTGTGCTTACTGCTGTAACACAGAAATGGACAAAAATGGACCATGCAATTTACACTTATGTTCATGAATTTTTAATTAATATATTTTGAATAAAGACTCCATATGATTGGGTTTTTTTTTTGTTTGGCGCAATTTTTACATTGTGTCGTCATAAGAATTTAGTCACATTCATTGTGACGTCATAGAGAAATTAGTCGTTAAGCTCTAGGACAAAACGGAGTAATAAGAAATGGCGGAGACCAGAAACAGTAACGCAACCATGGATACTGCCTTGGAGTCTTTAGTGGCTGGTGTCCTTAGCACTTCACTTCGAACGGTACAGTTAACATACCTAGGGGTGAAACTTGAAAAATATTTTTAGCAACCTTTTAGACCTTTTTTTGTATTCATATGAAGCAGAATTTGTCCAAAATCTTGTACGTGAAAAGAAGAAAACACTTGCTGTGGCCTTCAACTCGACATTTAGACATATCGACGATGTATTGTCAATGAACAATGGCTATTTCCATTCTTAAGTCGATACGATATATGTACGATATTTCCATTTTTTTTTTAAAATACTAAGACTTCAAGTACGGAATTCTTTATCTCGGTAGCTCAATTCGCAGAGCCCTCCCTCAGTGATTGGAAGGTTCCGCCGAGGCAAACCTCAATCAATCTATCTAATCTCTCTCTCTCTCTCTCTCTCTCTCTCTCTCTCTATATATATATATATAAAGAAATAGTAAGCAACAGTTCCTTCGTCAAGCATTCGACACTTTGGAGTGAAAGCACTCCACACTTTGGAGTGAAAGTTGCGGGTCTTTGAAGTGAAAGTTGCGGGTCTTTCGGATATGAGACCTTCAAACCGATGTCACAGCAGGTGTTCACACGCTTAAGAAAATCTCACTGTTCAACGTCTCGTATTAATCTTGCAAGGGACGTTTAACTATAATAATCAATCAATCAATTCCAAGACCACCCAAGAGGCCTATGGGCCACATCGCTCACCTGAGCACTGTGGTTAGGAAAAAAGCAAATATCAGTTCAGTATTGAAAAGCTTTAATGCATAAGTTGTCCCGACCTACCCCTAAAAAGGGACAGGGGGTGGGGGTATGATTTGAACAAAATTGAATCTACACTATATAACTAAAGATGCTTACATATTTCTTTGTCTGTGACTTTTTTTCCTACAAGTTTAAACTTTCATTATGGTCCCACCCTACCCCTGAGGGTCATGATTTGAACAAATCTGAATCATGACCAATCATAGTTTTGCTCTTCCTGAGAAAATGATTTTTTTTTTAAAAATTCCTATGTATTCCTATGCATAACTTTAATCATCAATTGTGGCCCCACCCTATCCCCAGGGAGTCATGATTTTTTTTTTCAAACATGAATCTACACTACCTTAGGATACTTCCGAATAGTTAATAACCAATTGATGATTTGCTTACCTGATAAATTGGTTTTTAGACACAGGAAGATGAAATACCACTCCATCGCACAAAGAAGAATGTTAATGTTAGTATTCCACCGGAACACCTCTTTTGTGAGCTAACGTCACTCATTCCCGTGCATTTGGATAGTGAAGATGAGGATTCCTCGTACTCTACTGACCAAGTCGTCAGCTCTTTCCCCATTTCACCAGGAGAGAAAGATAGTTTGTTGTCGGATTCAAAAGGTATAGCTAGTTTTAACGAACCTTGTATTAAAAAAAAGGAAAACAAAGGAATTAAGGTGTTGTGTTTATTTTTGTTAAACATAAAAAAACCCATTTTGTTTACTTAATTAATAAATGTAGACAAGATTGTTATACAAATTATACAATAATCGTTTGGTATAAAACTCATACCGGTAGGTTAGTTTGCCATAAAAAAAATACATTTAGCCAATACACATTAATGGACCTCTTGAGAGGGGATAGAATATATCATGAAAGTCAATACCAGTTTCTTCTAAGGAGATTAAAGAGTTTTTCAAAAAATAAAAATGCAGGGGTATATCAAGTGCAGGGTTTGCATTTCCGTTTGATAGGTTAAATTTGCTTGATGTATTTGTCTCAACATTTTGAACTCCTATATCTTTTCCCTTTTCCATAGTATAAAGTGAGCTATATGTCAGTCCTCCGCTATCCTTGATCTGACACAAATATTTAAAAAAAAAAACACAGTTGTTTTCGTTATTGGTATATTATGTGACGTTAAGCAGTACGATGATATTTTTCTAATTTGATGTAATTTTCTACGGTTATTAATGTTTTTCCTCATCTTTAGACATGGTCCATCAGGAGAAAACTTCGAAGCTGGGTCGATTGATGAGGAATATTTTCTCGAAAAAGGTAAACTCAACAGTTCCTATTCATCCTAACCTCAAAAGCGTGGCTAAAATCTCTGTATTCACGATCTGATTGTTATTTTTTTTTTCTTTCCTTCTTTTTTTTAAAGAAAAACACGGGAACAGAGAAAAAAATTGGTAAGCAATATTTTCATTCAACAAACTATGCACAAACATGCTGTAGAATGGTGCACAAATAATCAAACAGTAAACTACCGTTTTGAAAACTTAACGTTATTAAGATTTTTTTTATTTATTTTATTTTTTTTTACCTATTTCTATTTCTTGTTAGAAATTTTCTTATTGTGCAACTTTTTAAAACCCCACATACAGACTGGAGTATTAACGAAAAAGAGTTGGCAGTAAGAGTTTTCCCCTCTCAAGAGCTTCTTGTTTTCGATGACTTTACATGCAAAGATGAGAATTCCGCCGAGAAGGAGCCGCTTTTTCACTGCAAAGATCACCAGAAAAAGCCTCGAGCGAAGCGACCCACTCGTATACTCCTATCTTGCTTCAGGAAACAGTGAATTATGAATTTGATTACGAAAAGATTTATAAATTAAACATAAGAGTTCTGGCAATTTTAAAAATAAACAGTAAATTAAATTGTCTCTGGAAAAAGTTTCAATACTTTTGGATTAGAATTGTGTTTGAGAGGAATTCTAGTAAAAAAAAAAACAATCCTGGAATGCAATAAAAAGGTGGATAAAGCATTACAGTTGAAATCCGTAGATCAGACGGAATGAGGCAAACCCATTTCTACGTATTATGTAAGAATTATTACATTATGGGGTAACTTTTCAAATGTTATGGAATATTTAAAGGGACATGGACACGCTAGTGCTTATCTACAGAAGATGACTGTACTTAAGGACACTTCAAAATTGCGACAAAATAAATTTTAAAAATGGGCATTTTTTTCCTAATTGCAGGAATGGGTCTATGTCTTAACTGCAACTTTATGTAATTACATTAATTAAACATTCCTTATCTAAGGTAGGGGTCATTACATTTTCTTGAATCTCCATATGCTAATGGGGACACCCACTTTTTTTTTACAGACTTAATACATACTTAAAGACAGCACATTTTGTCTATTGTTCTCCATTCAATATAGTTGTATATATATATATATATATATATATATATATATATATATATATATATATATATATATATATATATATATATATATATATATATATATATATATATATAATAGCTTTATATATATATATATATATATTTATATATATATATATATATATATATATATATATATATATATATATATATATATATATATATATATATATATATATATATATAATAGCTTATGTCAAAAGGAGATCAATAGACAAACATGCACTGATGGTTAAAAAGAGAAAAAATGTTTCTTCTTGTGTTCGCGTTCTCTGTTGTGACCAGGTTATTTTGATTTGCCCCCACCCATTTCGATCTCTATCATCAAATGCAGGTGGAAATGACGTAAGCAGCACAACAAACAAAACTCCATGAGAAAAAATATCTTAAAACTTATGAAATTAAATTTTAAAAAAGATGTGTATGTGAAACACTGATGCCCCCGTATGGCAACTTATGGCAAAGGTTAAACTTTCTCAAATGCAAATCAAATATGTTGGTACCAAAAGTAAGGTCTTGTCTCGAGGAATATACCTGTGAGATATGAAAGCCCTAGCAGCAATCATTGAATAGATATGGAGAAGGTTTAAGTTTTTCAAAAGTAAGTCAAACATCAAGGTCAAATGGTCAAAATTAATGGTGCCCAAGGAAAGGCCTTCTCACAAGAAACACACATGTGAAATATGAAAGCCGTAACATCAATCGTTCAAAAGTTATGGCCAAGGTTAAAGTTTTTCAAAAGAAGGTCAAACTCTAAGGTCAGGATCAAAGGGTCAAAGTCAAGGATTACATATGTGAAGTATGAAAGCCCTAGCAGTTATGGCAAAGGTTAAAGTTCGTTAAAATTTTTGTAAAACTGGGTCAAACTCCAAGGTCAAGGTCAAAATGTTAAATATGATGGTACCCAAAGAAACATCTTGTCACAATTAATAGACGTGAAATATGAAAGCCATAGCTCCAACCAATCAAACGTTATGGGTAATGTTAAAGTTTTGCGGACAAACAGACAGACAGACGGACGAACAGGGCAAAAACTATATATCCCCGAATCTTCGTTACAGGGGCATAAAATCAGTATAAATTATATTTCATTTCCTAACCAGTTTTAATATGATATGTTTGCTGAAAGTAATTCTCAGTAGTATGAAAATATAAGTTGGGGTGTGTGGGAAACCCTTTAGAGATCAGACATTTAATAATTTATTGAGAATGAGTTTATAAAACAAATGAGACTACATTAGGTGATTAGGTGTTTGATAAATAGGACGAATCAACACTATATTTTCATGCTATAAAGACAACTGTACTAAATGTATCAATTCTGTATATGAAAACATAATGAAAATTATTCCTCCTTTCATAATATTTTTTCATTCCATTGTAATTATGTATTGCTGCAACACGAATCCACCTACAAAGTATGGAAAATAAAACGCTCGAAGCCGTAAAAAAATGAAAAATTAAGATAGTTGGAAAAAGCGAAATTGGAATTGAAATACGAATTTTAAAGTTTGAAAAGCAATATTTAAAGTTGGAAAAGCCTAGATTAAAGTTTGAAAAGCCAAGGTTAAAGCTGGAAAAACCAATTTTTAAGTTGGAATTACTAACTTCAAGTCGCCCGCCTTAGGTGACGTCTCCATATAAGTGAAAAATTCTCGAGAGGGACGTCAAACAACATACATACAAACAAACTAACTTCAAAAAGCACTAATACGCTTTCATAAATTTATTCTATTTACAGTTCACATAAAAACATCAGTGCTCATAAGTAGCCCTGTTTACAAACAATTTATAATCTGAACAGTTTTAGGATTTTTCTGAAAGACCGATTGAAACCTTTGAAGCGGAACGAAAAATTGTCAATGAAATTTTGTTTGTAACAGAACTTGTCCAAGAACTCGTGTAAGACTTTACTCGTTTAATTCAGATTCGTTATAGCGCAAAAATAGCTCTTAAATGAAGGCAGTCCTTGGTATGATGTTAAAATATATTACAGTTCCAAAATAAACAACCATTAACAACACAATGAAACGTCATGAGTCAAAAATCACGCAAGTCTTACATTAAAAACATAAAAGGTCCCAGATGAGCATGAATCATGGCGGGAAAAGATGTGCTTTACTGTTCTCCGCAGCCTTTTGAAATTATTCGGAAGTATATGTTACCTCTGTATCATCGGGAGTGGCTTTCCGTTTGAGTTCGCATGGTTTCTTTGGTGCTGGAATGGTCACGGATTCAAGTTCTGCAAACTGGTATAAGAATAAAAATGTATTCACAAAAATGGGTATCACGAGCGACAGCATGATGACACCAGAAACAGCACAGACACAACCCAAAACTTTTCCGGCGATTGTTTTTGGAATTATATCACCATATCCTACCGTTGTCATAGTGATCAGTGTCCACCACCAGGCATCTGGAATGCTTCGAAAATCGTCTGATAGTTCAAAAAAGAAAACCAGGTTAGAGAAAATCATGAGACCGATGAAAATATACATGATAATAATACAGAGGTCCTTCTTTCCAACCTTGATCGAGTAGTTCAAGACTTTAAAGGCCAGCACGTGACGCATAACTCGGACAATTCTGAGAACACGAAACATTTGAACATACAGTAAAAAGGACCAAGCGTTTCCATTATACTGTATTTCCAAGAAGTGGAGAATAAAACGGCAATAGCTGGCCATAAGAAGCAGAATTTCAACAATATTCATCAATCCACAAGTGTATGAGAGCAATCCAGGACAGGTTAGAATGCGCATCGCCTGTTCAGCGGTAAAGAAAATCGTGGTGGCGATTTCTATGTAGAAAAACACTTTCGTCCCCTGGTCAATTGTCTGCTGCAAAGATGGAATCTTCTTGTGCACTGATTCTGGGAAAATACTAGATATAAAATCTGAACCATCACGATGAATAGAAGAATCGTTCAGATCCGTAGCTAAACTCTTTGAGGACGTCACTCTTTCGTACAGAAGCTTGCAGTAGTCAGGAGTAGAAATCGTGGGTACTGTCTCGGGTGGAGCCTCTTTAACCCTGAATTGAGGTAACGTGCTGATGGCGACTCCGAAGATCGACAGTAAAATGAAACAGGTAGACACGAAGAAATAGATCTGAAAAGTAAATTATTAAATTTTGAGCGACAAATCTTTCATTATTGAAAAATATTTGTTTATTTTAAGCTCTACTGGTCAGAGACCAAAAGAGCTTATGCGATAATAAGGTGTCCGTCGTTCGTCCATCCGTCTGTAAGAAGCAGATGCAAGTTAGCAAATGTGAAAATACATTACTGCTTAAGTTCCTGTACCAACAAACTAAGCGGCCATATATACCCATTGATACGAGGAGGCATTGCATACAAAGTATTTTCTGCACAACGATCGCTAAGAGTAAAGTAAAAATACACATACCCGGTATCGGTAGAAATCGTACATACTGTATTTTGAAAAATTTTACACAAACATTTTGAAAAATACAAGTAAACGAATACAAGACTTTTTTTACACGAATAAAAGAATAAAATGCTCAAAGTTAGAAAAGAAAATTGCGAGGGTAAATGAAAAGTACACGCACAATTTTACGATGCATACAACTGCACATACCATTACTTTGCATAATGAATACACTGTGTTCTTGTTTATTCGGGGTCGCTGAATTGATGTAAACCATGGAATGTGGATGAAATCACGTTATATACTATCGGACCATCGATTGATTGATTGTTGTTGTTTTACGCCCCATTCTCGAGTTTTTCATCCATATAGAGACGTCACCATATACCGGTGAAGGGCTTCAAAATTTGAGGGTTCTTTATTCAATATTGTGTTATTGCCAACCGTGACACAGACCTCGATTTTAAGGACTCATCCGAAAAACCCATCACTTTCACTTCTAATATCGACAGAGTTACCGTGACTGTTCGAGATTTGGGTCGTGGCGCGATGATACTATCGATGGTGCAAAAGTGAACAACGATTGTAATAATTAAAATTTAATTATTCTTTGCTTATTATCACACCTATAATAAAATTAAATTTAGACTCCCAAGTTTAGAGGCCAACGTCGACATCACCTTCTCGTTTGAACAGGAGTCTGCTCATATTCAAACGCTCTTTTTTGCCCCTTACTAAAACTAAAGAGCCATTTGACAAGTGACCGTTGGAGAGTAAACATGACTTTTATAATAGAACGACTTAAACTGAACATGAGAAGATGGCTTTTTTTTTTTTACCTATTGGTTGTGAGGGTTATTGTTCACTGTATGACGTAAATTAAACCCAACTCAAATAAAGTCATGATTCGTATGAATCCCATATGGAGCTTGCCATTGTAACGATATCTCCGTTGAATGTTGGCAGTTACAATTTAAGAAGCTTGCGAAAAAACGACCCTACAGAACTCAAGGAATATTGTTCTGTCGTTCACTGATGTCACAAATCCGCTGAATTCCTTGATAATTGTTGTGTTGATTTCCGTAACAGGAACGTTGTGGGTAATCCATCGTGCTCAGCTAGGTCTCTTTGTCTAAGAAGTTTCTCTAACTAATGATTTGTATTTCTGTCTCATTGTTTTCTTTCGTCTCCCACCTCTTCTAGGTTAGTCAGTTGCATAATTTTCTCGTTGAGATAAGAATTACGATTCTAAGGTGTCTAATATCTTGACAAAATGTATATTCTTTTAAGCTTCCATTTTCCTTCGCGTTGTGATTTTAAAAAAATACTCGTCCTTCCTGCATCAACTTCATTTTTCCAACTTTTTATATAGACCTGATATACCTTATGATAAAAAATGCGTTTACAATTTACAGAATGATGTGACTTGCTGCATATATGGAGCAAAGTAAAATATAGTGGTTTTATATATATGTGCGTACGGTCCACCGTTATATGTAAGTCTAAGCATTCAGTATAATTTAACAAATATTGCATGCAGTTTGGGGTAACATTGAAAATTTTCAGCCTCAAGAAAACCACTGTCAACCTCTGCTGCGCCTCAATTGACAATGTTTTTTCTGGGCTGAAAATTGTCAATGTTACGCTCAACATGCAATATAATAAACGCATCGCGTGTAAAAAAAAAAAAAAAAAAAAAAAAAAAAAGTAATAATAATTATAATATTCAAGCAAAGAGAAAATATTAGATATCAAGTATCAATTATGGAATTCTAAATAAATACGACTCCTAATTGAAACTTCTTGATTACTGCCACTTCCAATTATCAGCGAGCTGACACTGTCATTTGTCGACAATCATTGCTTACATATAGTATTGCCTATCGATTATAATTGATAATAATGTTCGAACAAATCGTTTGAAAGTAATAATGTGACGAGCAAACAGGGCATACCAAGAATATTTCAAGCTGGGAGGGGGTGTGACGTTAAATATTGTCGTTCTGTACATATTGTCGTCGGTGACAATATGTATACCTTCACTCACTGCACATATAATCGTCCACCAGGGCATAAATTTTCGCCGGCTGAAAAGTTACACATGTACCTATTGTCGCTGGCGACATTATGTGCCTACCCTCTTTGTACATATGGTCGCCCAACAGAAATCGCTACATAAAGATGTATTTGTATTTTTTTTTAATGTAATTGGTGTGTAAATCACACTGACGTGTCTCGTATGCTATTTCATGCAGCGCGATTGTGACGGTACATACCAGTATTATCGTCCTGTTCATATTGTCACCGGCTACAATGTCATATTGTCGTCGGCGACAATGTGTAATCTACCCTCGATCGCTGCATATTGTCGTCCATCGGTACATGTCGCATGACAATACATGACAATGTTTTCATATAAATATGACTAATCATTGCTATGCTGTTCTTAAAAAGAAAATTTTTACAGACTTTTCTAATATATACTTATGTAAAACTTTGATTACCCATTGTGGCCCCACCCTAGACCCTGGATCATGATTTGAAGAAACTTGAATTTATCTACAGTACCTGAGGATGCCTAAACATGACTAATCATGGGCTTGCTGTTCTTGAGAAGATTTTTAAAGATTTTCTGTATATATTACTATGTAAAACTTTGATCGCCCATTGTGGCTCCACCCTACCCCTTGGGGTCATGATTTTCAATAAATTTGAATGCACAATATGTAATAAAGCTTTCACATAAGTTTCAACTCTTCCGGCCCATTAGTTTTTGAGAAGAAGATATTAATTTTTTTCCCCTATATATTCCTTGGTAAAAAAAATTCCCCTTCTCCGAGGGGTCATGATCTGATCACAAAATTGAATTAACGCTTTATAATGAAGCTTTCACATAATTTTTAACTTTTCTGGCACAGTGGTACTTGAGAAGAAGATTTTTAAAAGATGTCAATAAATTTTCACTAATTCTTAATTATGTTCCTTTGAAAGAGGACATGGCCCTTCATTTGAACTAATTTAAATTACTTTAATCCATGGATGCTTTGTGGCAAGTTTGGTTGATATTGACCTAATAGTTCTTGAGAAGAAGCTGAAAATGTGAAAAGTTTACAGATGGTCAAACGGACGACAGACAAAATGTGATCAGAAAAGCTCACTTGTATGAGGCGCCGTTTTGGTATTTACTGCCAAAAAGTGATATCACCTATTCGAATAGGTGATATCACCTATACGAATAGGTGATATAGTGATATCACTCATTCAAATTGAATAGGTGATATCACCTATTCGAATAGGTGATATCACCTATTCGAATAGGTGATATCACTTATTCGAATAGGTGATATCACCTATTGGAAATGAATAGGTGATATCACCTATTCGTGCTGAATAGGTGATATCACCTATTCGAATAAGTGATATCACCTATTCAATTTGAATTGGTGATATCACCAATTCGAATAGGTGATATCACCTATTTGCATTTCTTACAACAATAAATAATGAATGCTCCCTTCCTCAAGTTTATCTACATTTTCATTGGAACCAAGCAAATTCGGGCTGCATTAGGGTCTGTAAATCTCCTCACGTGACTCGCGAGATTTTTCGATAATATTAACTTCCGGGTACCTCACACATGGAGATGTGTATTGGGTTATGCATGTTTATGGTTTACGCAAAGCGTATAAGGAAAGTTTAAGCAGTTGTACAAAGCCGAAGGGTTCTCCGACTTACGATGGATAAATTGAGTGTCGTAAAAGCTTGGGTGCGAGCAAGTAGGAGGAGAATTTCGATCGAAGTACAGGTAAACAAGTCAGAGAATGTCACATGTTTCTTGGGTATTCTTGGGTGAAATAGAAGTCTTATATTATACATTTGTATCTGATTAGAATAGTTTTGTTATCATCATTCCAACTAATTTATTAACAGATTTTTTTGAATTCGAGGATAATGATGTTATTACCAGCTGATTAAGGAGGAGTAGTGTAAGTGTCAGATAGGTACGAACGTCATCTTGTGACAGCATCACCTTTGTTTGGGTAAATAATTTGTTCAGAATACGCTTCATTTATCAACAGAAATTTAGCTGTTGCATGTCAGTGGGTCTAGTTTTTTAAGTATTCAATGTTTGAAAGCACTTATCAGGTCCAGTACAATCTTTTGATTTAGCAGTGTTTAGCTATATAGCTTTATTAAGCTATTCAGAATAGCTTAATTTAGCTATTTTATATCACTTTTTCTTAAATGTGTACTCAGCATGCACAAAAAGTCGCACCTTGGTGCAGTGATGATACTCAACCTTGAACTCATCTGAAATTGATGCATTTAAAACTCACTCATTAAAATCTCCTTGCATACAGTATTTGGGCCTAAAAATTATCACATCTCCTTGCATACATGTGATAATTTTTAGGCCCAAGTACTGTACAGCAGTCCTCAAAATACTGGAATTTGGGTGAAAACACTGTACATTGTTCATCAAAAAACTGTAAAAAATATCGACCAAAAATCAATGTAAGAGGTTCATTTTTAGCTCTTCTGAGCCAAAGGCCCAAAGAGCTAATGCTATGGCCATTTGTGCGGTGTGCGTAAACTTTTTAGAATATGGGCCATAACTCAAGAACCAGGTATGAAATTGATGTCACAGAATAAGTTTTTGGACTTACATTTACTCTTATAATTCATATACATATAAAGCATATAAAAAATAGAAAAGAATTAAAGGTTCATCAGGTGACAGCTCAATCATGTATGGAATATTATTAGGCCAAATAAAAAAATATGTGTGGTTCCCATTACCTGACCCTCCCTATTTTAGATCCCCGACCCTTAACTTTTTTCCGGCAATTTTCATATTTATTTTCCGGAATTTTCCGCGAATTCCGTCATCCACTTTGGTATTAGTTTTAGTTCCAGCAATGGCGGCCTCCATGCAAAAGTTGTTTCAACACGTAGTGCAAGTGTTTGATGGTGTTAAATCTAAAGCAAGCTAGCATGGCGTGTCAGTATACCTTTTTCCAGTGCCATGTTTATTTTGTTTGTTTGTTTTTTGTTTGCCAAAATTAAATAAATATGCCCAAGAGTGGCGAGATTCAGGTAATTGCTCTGTTTACAGCTGGTTTATAACAAGTGCATGCTGATTAGCCCCTTTATTATTTAATGCACGCAAAGGTGTGAAGTCAGGATAGGAAATCACTTCTCACTTGGAAGCACACAGACAGCTGGCCAGGTAACATTTTTTGGAGTTAGGGGGAAGATAACATGAGAAAACATTTATTTGATTGCATTGATCATGCAAGAATTAGCCCAATGTGTAAGATAGATTAATTAACTTGTAAATTATTAAATAATTTAAATCAGGATCGTTTCTTTTAAACCGAAAGTAAGAAAAAACAAGATGTGTTTGTGAAACACTGATGCCACCGTATGGCAGCTTATGGCGAAGGTTAAAGTTTCTCAAATGCAAGTCAAAATCCAGGCCAAAAGATAAAAAATGTTGATACCCAAAGAAAGGTCTTGTCTATATAGGAATATACCTGTGAAATTTGAAAGACCTAGCTGCAACTGTTCAAAAGTTATGGCGTTGGTTAAAGTTTTTTAAAATAAAAGTCAAACGTCAAGGTTCAAAGTCAAAGTGGTTGGTATCCAAAGGAAGGTCTTGTCACAAGGATTACATACGTGAAGTATGAAAGCCCTAGCACCAACCATTCAAAAGTTATGACCAAGGTTAAAGTTTTTCAAAAGTAGGTCAAACTCCTATGTCAAGGTCAAAGGGTCAAAGTGGTTGGTATCCAAAGGAAGGTCTTGTCACAATGATTACATATGAGAAAAATGAAAGCCCTAGCAACAACCATTCAAAAGTTATGGCCAAGGTTAAAGTTTTTCAAAAGTAGGTCAAACTCCTAGGTCAAGGTCAAAAGGTCAAAGTGGTTGGTATCCAAAAAAAGGTCTTGTCACAAGGATTACATATATGAAGCATGAAAGCCCTAGCTCCAACCACTCAAAAGTTATGGCCAAGGTTAAAGTTTTTCAAAAGTAGGTCAAACTCCTAGGTCAAGGTCAAAGGGTCAAAGGGGTTGATATCCAGAGGAAGGTCTTGTCACAAGGAATACACATAGGGGTGCAACGATACACTAACCTCACGATACGATATGTATCACGATACATGACAAGGTTAAAAAGACTTTCAAGTTTGTCATATTTTTTTAAACTTGACAGGGTTATATAAAATGTTCATATTTTTTTGATAATAATTAAAATAAAATTTTGTTAACTTGCATTGGATTGTTGGGTACATCTTTGAGTTTTGACAATATTCTAAACCAATGATGAACATTTACAGGGAACTACGGGGACCTTTCCTTATAATCTTCCTTTTAAATTGGAATGAAAAAGGAAGACATTCATTCTTTTATTCCTTTTATTTACGTAGAAAACCAGTTGTCATATTTCTCGTGTTAACACGTTTTAGTCAACAAGACAGTGAATTTTCATCGAAATACACACATGATGAAATATCGTGTATTACCAAAGAATACGTTTAGATCTAAAGGGTTTATCATTTGTCTTAACATCTATAACGTATAGTCACATTAAGTCCTTCTCAGTGTTAAATCTGAGGTCTGTAAGATGCTGGAGAAGAGTTTAACTTCCGTTAATGCGTTATATTGGCGACCTCACGTTTTGTGCGGAAGCCATTTTGAAATTGTAAAAAAGGAAACAAAACGAATGATTCGGATAATTCTGGACCGATGGAACTGAACCGCGATATCAGTTTAGCGTATCGTGAATTGAACCGTGGAAAAATATACCGCGATATACCATCAAACGGTTTATCGTTGCACCCTTAAATACACATGTGAAGTTTGAAACCCCAAGCACCAACTGTTCAAAAGTTATGGCCAAGGTTAAAGTTTTTCAAAAGTAGGTCAAACTCCTAGGTCAAGGTCAAAGGGTCAAAGGGGTTGATATCCAGAGAAAGGTCTTGTCACTAGTTATATTTACAGTACTTTCTTTCGTTTGTAAGGGATTTATTGTACAGAGAGGCGTGGCAGTCGAGTCGCGCAGCGACGAGACTGTCACGCCTCTCTGTACAATAAATCCCTTACAAACGAAAGAAAGTGTCTGTAAATGTCTTGTGTCATGGTCATTTGCATAGTCACTCCTTCAGCACCAAACTGCACGCGACATTACGTCATAGGCCTAGGTCCATCGTAAGTGAACAGGTTCAAACAAAGCAGAAAGTACGAAGGAGATGGTTGCATTGAAAAATCAAGCAATGTTAAACGAGTGTGAAATTGTATTTGATGGATTAATTTAAGCAGTATGAGTATTTCAAAAACCATAACAAATACAGGCACAATACTGGAAACCTGGATCCGCCCGCACTTTGACCCGCTACATTATTGTTACTAGTCTCTGTATTTTTAAAATATTTGTTTAAATTAGTTAACTAATGAGTTTACATGTAATTCTCATGAAAATGGTTTTCACGTATGCATTTTCAGATCGAAAGGGGGGGGGGTGAATTTTGTGAGGTTTCTCATTTTTCCTCTGGATAAGTTGTATATGCTTACAGAAATTGAAGAAAAAAAATTTCAAAAGTATTGAGTTCCTTTGGAAGTTATTGTACAGTACATTGGAAGTTATTGTACGGCTAAGCTCCGCCCCCTAGAAGTTATAGTACGTTGGAATTCAGCCAAAGGTTTTCTATATGATTTAAAGTATGGCTAACATCAAAAGAAAAAGTACCGCACCATGACACAAGGAATACACATGTGAAGTTTGTAACCCCAAGCACCAACTGTTCAAAAGTTATGGCCAAGGTTAAAGTTTTTCAAAAGTAGGTCAAACTCCAAGGTTAAGGTCAAAAGGTCAAAGTTGTTGGTATCCAAAGGAAGGCCTTGTCACAAAGAATACACATGTGAAGTTTGAAACCCCAAGCACCAACTGTTCAAAAGTTATGGCCAAGGTTAAAGTCTCATAAAATTTTGCAAAAGTGGGTCAAACTCCAAGGTCAAGGTCAAATATGATGGTACCCAAAGAAAGGTCTTGACACAAGGAATACACAAGGTTAAAGTTGACAACAGACAAACAGACAAACGGACAAACAGATAAACAGACAAACAGACAGACAGGACAAAAACAATATACCCCTGGGATCTCTCAATCCCGGGGCATAAAAAATAGTTCATGAGGAAAAGTGAAAAAGAAGACTGCTGATTTTACCTGAATAAAGTCAACTTGCAAAACACCAATATATATGAGAAATGAGCTTGGAAGTATGAAGTCTTCAATGAGGCAAAAAGGTTTCATGAAAGGATTTAAAATTTTAATAATATTAAATATTTGTAATTCTGACAAATTTGAATGATTCTGTGTCATCTTGCTTAGGTGATTTATTTTGTTTTAAACATTACTGTACAAAGTATAGGTGTCACATTCTTTTCCTCAGACAGCTCTTAGCAGAACTCTCATGTCCATTTTCTAGTTTATTGTTCAAAATTTATTATTAAGTAAAATAAGAACTATTCTGGATAAAAGTAATTAATTTCATTTATAAACACTGATTTTAAAAAAAAGGATGTTCACCTTGGACTTCATTTTTTACAAAAAGAAAAGATTGTGTATTCATTATTTTTGATTTGAAAATATTTGTTTCATATTCATAACTAGGGTGTCCCCTACCAATGTTGACTAGTATATTTCACGCCACGTCGAAATGCCACTTATTTTCTCCTTCACTCTGTTCATCCACAAATAAAACATTTCTTTTCTGAATCATAGCTGGGAAAGACTGAATTCAAAATAAACAAAACATTTATTAGTTATGAGTTATATACTCAGCTCTTCACACAAAATATTTCTGTTTTTTCGCATTCTATAATGTACAATTTTAGATTTTATATACCTGTATAAAGACTTCCGCAGCAGATTCCGATGGAGAAATCATGATCTATATTTAAGATTTAATGTATAATGCTTAAGATATCCATTAATTTTACTTATAATATACAATTCTGAAATTAATATCATCCTTTAAAAACAAGGACAGCACTTTTCATCTTCGTAAAAACTTAACATTCTCAAAAAAGAAAATATAATATCCAAATAACAGTTAAATAATTCAATTTGCTCATGCTGATTTTCTTCAAACATTGTATTTTCTAGATGAGTATGAACTAGAATAAATAGAATCAGCAAACAACTGTTTAAATACCCAAGACATTTTATTCACACATTAAAGCACATATCTAATCCATATGCTTAAGAGAAAACATATCTAACACTCTACACATAAAATAGTTCACTTATGCTAACGAAAAGAAATAGGTATTATTTAGAAAAATTTAGAAAATCATTTTGTAAAAAAAAAACACACATATTTTTTTGTTTGGCCTTAACGCTGGGTTTCCAAATGTCAAAATTAAGGGTATTCGATATATTCCATACAAGTTGTCAATCATTTATAAGTGATTTGTACAGAGGTTCATTTGCATATAAATGTTGTTAACATTGTTTTACTGTCTTTATTAACTTGTAATACTAAATTTTATAAATTGACAAATTCATTCTTTTTAGAAAGCATATAATTTGGAAAAGAGACCATCAATCCACTGGGGGGTATCGCATGAAAGCAATGATTATAGAATATTGTAAGGCTGGAGGAGTTGTAGTACAACAGGCAGGCAAGTAATGGTACTTTGTTCTGGAAATTTTTCGCCCCAGTTAAGTTTTATTTTTCTCATTCTGCCCTCCTTACAAGTAGGTGAATTTAAAACGGGACAAATTCGAAGAAGGCAGCATATATCTTTTAAACACAAATGTGTCTGATCAAATTTTAAAAGGGCAAAATTGTTTTCAAGGGTGAAAGAGTGAATATTTTAAAAATTAGAATGGGATGAAAATATATCCAATAATACAGGTTGTATAATGAAAATAATTTGTTCTGTAAAAGGACAAATTTTGTTCTGATTTGTATCAAATAAATAAATATGTGCCAGATTTATTAGTTTGCAGGCACCTAAGTTACCATCAGTTGTGCGTCAAGCTGTGCAAAAATTCTATGTCATGTTACAGAATCTTTCTTAAATACAGGTATATGTCTGCTCATCTGGCAATCTTAGGACATCACTGGATGGTTTTGTTTAAAAAGATTACAGAGTTAACACACACTTCCAGCATGAAGACCAACCAGTTGCCTCACCTGTCCTGACATTGTTAAAGGTAAATGGCCCTTTCAGAAAAGGATCTGACAATGCAAAGGCTTGCTAATCAATTAAAGATTTCTATTTACTAATAGGTAATTAATTTGAATTTCTGTAGCTTAAAAATTTAATGATGTGAATTAAAAAAATATTTTAATCAAAATTATTTTTATTTCAGTACTTTGTGACAGTGAAAAGACATGGCTTTAAACTACTGCATCAGAGATCAATCCAGGTTATAAATCTGAGGAAAACAATAAAGCATCACTTCGAGCTACTTATATCTCTGCCTTAATAAGTTTTCTGCATATGTAACTAACAAAGGACAGTGACCAGTTGTACCTATGATATCAGAGGGCATCCTGAAAAACACTCATCACTATAAGAATAGAAAACTTCAAATGACTTTTGTATCAATCCTTTTGAATTTCATCTGGCTTGGAATTTCAGTAGCCTTTAGCATCCTTCAAGCATTTCATGAAGCACATGTACCAATTTGCAGATATAAAATGTTTGAAACAGATTGCTTGTCCCAAATTAAAAAAAATAAATTCTCTGCCAATTAACAGTGTCATAAGCAGTTGATTGATATCACAGTTCCACTGGCATAGTATTTGTAGTTGAATGGTGCCATTTTTAAGAAAACTTTTCACAAAAACCTGGAAAACATCAGATGGAAAGGAGCATCTACAAGAAAAACAGTGAACACTTTCTTGAATATTAACAATGATATATCATGCCCATTTACATCCTTTATATACACTAATTAACCTAATCATAGAGAATTATGTACAAATTTGTCCTTTTGTGTATTTATAGTGTATTAAATTGATTTTACTAATTTATAAATATTTATGTTTTTCACAGTCGTTAACATTTACAAATAGAAGTACATATAACAAAAATATTACTTAAGAAATAAGGTATCATTTTTAAACATCTATCGGGCTACAAATACGGGTTGGTCACGAGATCAAATTCCATAAAGCCCGAAGGGCTTTATGGTAAATTTGATCTCGTACCAACCCGTATTTATAGCCCGATAGATGTTTAAAAATGATACCTTATTACTTATATTTACATTTGTGACTTATTCATATTTTATATTTGCCTGATTATAATCTTTAACGCGTGAAATGTTTTATTTTTCAAACCCAACGGCACGTGTTTGATCCTCTGATTGCGCGTCGACCCTTTATGACGTCACTGAAAAATTACGTCGAACGTTTATGACGCGAGGAACCCGTGTTTATACGGATATAGATACGCATTGCTTTCAATAGTGTTATATAAAAGAAAACATTTGCAAATGTAAATATATGTTTATAAGTAGGATAACGTGAAATTGTTATACCACAAAAACCATCGCTGACCTCGCCTCGGTCAGCAATGGTTTTTAAGGGGTAAGAATTTCACATCACCCAAAATAAACAGGTAATATTTTTCTTGTTATAGAATGCATTTTAAAGAAAACATCAAGGTGAAACAAACGTGCAAACATTCTGCACAGTTAACATTTTTTATTACTGTATATACTGTTACCTGTAGTCATGCATTTTCAACCATTGGGATGTAATGTCCGGCATGCAGTATGGTAATAGTACTTGTTAACAAATGTTTTTTAAACCAATCAAATTTGACTATTTAACATGAAAGTGTATAACAAATTTATCTAGCATAATGGTGTTGTAAGTAACCATGGAATGTGAGCTTGTGTGAACTTGATCCTGAATTATTAAGTTTTGAATATTGTAATAAAGAATTGTTCAGCCTAAGCTTTAACTTGTACCTGATTTAAATGGAGTTCCGTCATTAACAACTTGGAAGTTGGAAGTTGTCACACTCTCCATGAGTATAATAACTGGGGGATCTGCTTCATTTGCAGATACATGGATAACACATTCTCTCAAAGGCTGTCCCTTTTTCAGTACCTTGAGCAGCCCTGTAACATATAATGACAAATGGAGAAAAATGCCTATTTCAAGAAAAAAAAAGTCTGTCTCATAATTGTAGGAGTATTGGAAAAGGGGGGGGGGGTCGTGAAACTTGGCAGTTAATACAGTTTGTATGTGTAAATGAAAAAATGCCTTCTTCTTTGTAGAATAAAAAATGATTATTTTTTGAGTGTGTGTGACCATTTTTATTTCTGAATAGACAGGGTAGCCTACAGAATGAGCTGACCATTTTTATTTATTTGTAGTAATTAAATTAAAAAAAAAAAGAATGTGTTTTCTACAAAGATCATATGTTATCGACGTGGTATTCAACTTTGTATTCCCACGGTCGATGCATTTGGGTACATCTATTTTTTTATTTCCTTTCAATGACATCGCACAATATCCCAATCTCATGTATACCTGTCCAATACTCCAAATTATACCATTGTAAGCTTAATCAATGCTTTAAATTTATGAAACCAATCTGTAGATAAGCGTACCTTTTGAATGCAGACGATTTTAGCATAAAAACGATTTAATTTTCCCTTTATGCTTAAGTATGTTGGCTAATCTTGGCCCCCTCGGAATAGCTTGTGTTTACGTTATGTAATGAAAAAATAAAGCAATTAAACGCTATTTACCTGCATCTATCAATCCATTTTCTCCTCTTCTTTGCAACAATCGGGAATCAAAACAAACCACAAGTTTAATAATTCCACTGCGATGCTTACAACTTAAGTAATCCTTTGTCTCCAAGAACGCTCAGGTACCCGGGAGTTATAAAACGAAAGTGAAAGTCAACGAGACTTACAGACCCTCTGAATTTTCCTATAGTATACATGATAGATAAGTGTAATAAATATAATTTGTGAGCAAAACAAACTACAAATTCTACTGGGGTGCTTAAAACTAAATGCGAAGCTGTAATCCATTGTCTGCAAGAATGGTAAGTTATAAAACAAAAGTGAAAGTAAATGAGAATTAAAGGCTATAGTCTTGGGAGCAGTTGTTATTTCATAAATAATTTGAATAGGTGATATCACCTATTCGAATAAGTGATATCACCTATTCAAAATGATTAAGTGATATCACCTATTCGAATAAGTGATATCACCTATTCGAATAGGTGATATCACCTATTTGATTTGAATAGGTGATATCACCTATTCGAATAAGTGATATCACCTATTCAAAAGGAATAAGTGATATCACCTATTTGAATGGGTGATATCACCTATTCGAATAAGTGACATCACCTATTTGAATAAGTGATATCACCAATTCAAATCAAATAGGTGATATCATCTATTCGAATAGGTGATATCACTTATTCGAATAGGTGATATCACCTATTCGAATAGGTGATATCACCTATTCAGAAGCTGAATAGGTGATATCACTTATTTGAATAGGTGATATCACCAATTGAATAGGTGATATCACTTATTCGAATAGGTGATATCACTTTTTGGCAGTAAATACCAAAACGGCGCCTCATACACTTGATCTTTCAGCTCAGGGGAGCTAAAAATGTCGATCCCAACCCCAACTACAATGTATATCGGCACATGTATAAGAATAACGCAAAAATATTTTTCAGATAATCATTAATACTGAACAAAGAAATCAACATTCAATCTCCAAATATGTATAAAGAGAAAAAAGAATAGGCTGATTTATCAGATATATCAAGAATCACAATATCTTGGCATATTAATTTATGGTGGTGTACACAAATCCTGGACACAGTTTTCTGACAAAACCTTTTCTCCCCACGGTATTGCGAGTATAAACATAAATAAATACAACTTTTTTTCACTTATTTTTCTGTCATACACTTAGTCCATACTTCTGTCTGTCTGTTTCTCTCCCTCCCTCTCTCTCTCTCTTCACGACCTTAGTAAGAATTCTTGAACACAATACTAGTATATCGGCAACAAAATGTGCAAATGCTCACAGTACATATTGTCGCCGACGACAATATGTGCCGATGCGTGTGACTGTACATTTTGCCTTGCATTATGCAGGAAGAAAAAAAAGGCTCGTCTCAGTACAATACGTACCGTCACAGCGGGTTGGCGGAGTGGTCTTTTTCTCACTTGTAGATTTCCTCAAAAGTAGAATAAAACAATCAGAAGTGACAAAGCTGTGTTACAACGCGAAATTTAATAACAACGCAAAATGTAATAAACCGGGATTATTGCATTTTGCGTTATTACATTTTGCGTCGAGATCAACGCAGAATGTAATAACGCAAAATGTAACAACTGACTTTTTAGGATTATTACATTCTGCGTTATTACATTTTGCGTCGAGATCAACGCAAAATGTAATAACACACTTTTTGGATTATCACATTTTGCGTTGTTACATTTTGCGTCGAGATTTAGCAAAGGGCAAGAATGCAAAATGTAATAACACACTTTTTGGTCAGTCAGGTTGAGAATAATTTTCAATTAAGTAGTGGATGAAGAAAAGAAACGGAAAGAAAATAAAACAAAAGAAAAAATAAACAAATGCTTAATATTCTTACATAAGATCGTATTTTATAATATGCTTGATTTCATTAGCTATTTAAAATCAGTTTGATATTCAAATCATAGGTGTTGCAAATTAGAAACGTGTTGCAGGGGCGGGGGTGGAGAGTGGGGCGGGGGTAATTTCGTTGAACAGTGTATTTTTGCTTTTTGATATACACATGCATTGAATTTAGAAAAAACATCTATTAATTTGTACTGACAGGTGTAAATAGAGGGGGTTTATTAACAATTATGATTCCATACTCTTTTACAAATCACGTACAGTGCAGACCAGCAAGATAAAATTATCTCTCTCTCTCCAACAATAAAATGGATGGTTTCTGCATCTGCATAGAAATTCAATGATCAATATACGAAGTAAACACCCCCACCCCATCCCTGCCTCTACTCACCGTACACACACACATACACTTCTAGTTTGCTAACCAATGTACACATGCATGTCATTCATGCATATCAAGAGCTTTTAATGGACCCATGGTCAATCATTGGTAATTAAAAATGTCATTGATTGGTGTATAATACAGACTGATTTATAAATAAACATGTCAATCAAAGATAAGTTAATGTTTTATAAGTATTCAATAAAAATATATAAAAAAAAAAAACAGAGCTAGAAAAAGATACATTTAGATTTAGTAATGTCCCTAAAAGCCGTAACGTTTGCCTCATTGCTAATTCTGTCTATTTTGTAAAAAGAATTTCCACATGGTTATATATTTAAATCAATTTTGTGATGTTTTGCGTTGAACCCCCCCCCCCCCCAAATGTTTTGTTTTATTACATTTTGTTTTATTACATTTTGCGTTGTCCTCGGCGCAAAAATTAAATAGCGCAAAATGTAACAACGAAAAAATACGTTATTACATTTTGTGTTAACCCAACGCAAAATGTAATAATATAAAAAAGTTTGCTGTTACATTTTGCGTTATTACATTTTGCGTTGATATCGACGCAAAATGTAATAACACAAAATGTTATAAATCCCAGTTTATTACATTTTGCGTTGTTATTACATTTTGCGTTGTAACAAAGCTACTTCTTGGAAAAGAGGGTTGAATCTAGTATAATGAGTAATGACGCAGAAAATGAGGAGAAAAATCTTAATTAAGTTCGCATTTCAATGGAGAAGACAACTTCTAGGAAAAACTTTACATATAGTCGGTATACTTTTAATTGAAGCTTTAATTGATTTAAATGAGAACTATAGGGGAAAAATACCAACATTATTGCATAGGGTAACATGTATTCTGTTTTCTATTATCATTTTATTTGTTTACTTTTATTCAACAATCATATATGTGTTTAAACCATTAAAGTGATATCTACTTGAGTCTTCGTTATATAAGGTATGTCAGCCCAGTTTGAAATATGACTAATCAAAATTTAAAGGTGCTAAGACACAGATATGAACTTAATATTTTCTCAAATTTTCTGTATAATATCACGACTTATATATTGCAATAGCATTTCACACGAAAATATAATTAAAAACTTATTTTATCTTGAAATTATTGGAACTACGAATTCCGGGACGCGTTTGATTAACACATCTTTGCACTTACACAAATATTAACTTTATCCTTAATATTTAAGAAAAGAAGCGATTTTGTTACACATGTATGTATTAATGAAAAATATTACATCTATAATCCAGAAAATTCAGAGTAGAAATGTTCGAAAGCAAAACCAACTCACCAGTATTGTCAGTCCGTGCTCTGTGATGTGCACAGAGTTTAACAAATTGAACACACCCGTGAAACGTAAACTGTTTTTGTAAACAGGGCACGAGCTCTGTTATTGTTAATGTTTACGATTCACCGGGTGTATTCAATTGTCAAACTCTGCACACACCACTGAGAAACTGTGAGGGTTTTGCTTTCGAACATTTCTACTCTGAATTTTCTGGTTTATAGTTTTAATATTTTTCATTAATACACAACAAAATTGCCACTTTTCTTAAGTATTAAGAATAAAATTAAAATATGTGAAAGTGCAAGGATGTGTCGATCCAACGCGTCCAGAAATTCGAAGTTTTAATAACTTCGAGATGTAATAAGATTTTTATTATATTTTAGTATGAAATGCTATAGCAACATATGAGTCATGAAATTATACAGAAAATTTGAGAAAATATTTACTTCAAATCTGTGTCCAAGCACCTTTAAGGCCGAAAAGGGCGTAAATAGAACGGCGGCAAAATTTTCAAGTATATTCCATACATTTTTTTCTTTACTCCCCCCCCCCCCCCTCCCGATGAGATTATGAATTTCTGTGTAAATTCAATCGCGCATTAACGATTCATTCCAACAAGTAGGGCCCATGTCTGTCCACAATAGCAGACAGCATGCAGTTGGCTGTATTAGCAGGAGGCGGCTATCGTATAAGGAATTCCAAATTAATGTAAACCAGTGAGAAACCATTTTTTCTGAAACATTTTTCTAAACATGTGGTTTGATGATTATAGATAAATTAGATAATGTCAGAATATAACACGATGTCAATGCTTCTTTAACGGTGACAAATATGGTAAATTAAGGATCGCCAATCCCTGCGTAATTAGCTGTAACACGCGTAGGGACATATATAGTTTTGGAATAACTCAAAGAACATATATTGAATGAGATTACTGATAATAAATTCCGATAAATTAATTATCGCCAGATTGACGTGTTTAGTTACAATATACATCATGTCACAGAAAAAAGTTTGTTTTGCTGAATGTAATACGTGACTTAACTCATAAAATGTATGTTAACTTACTACTGAAGTATGTCTTTACTATAAACAAAAAATTAAAACTCCACCGCAAATCTCACCTTCGCAACAAGACAATCATCGTGGTAATTCAAGACATTCCAGACTTTTAGAAAAACTTTCCTAGGAGAACTTTTCGGATAGGATGCATATTTCTCGGGCATACATGTACCAGAATTTTTGTAGTCCTTTAATAAGGCCTTCTCCCGGTAGTAACTAGCCAAGCGGTTCAAACAACAGCGCTCCAGTTTTTCGTGAGAAATCTCCCAGAAATCTAGTTCCTCCTTGAACTCCTCTGGACATGTGGAGATTGGCATATGAAGAATCCCGGTCAAGTGAAAATCCAGAATAGCTTCAAAGGCTTTTTTCGGTCGGTTTATGATAATTCTTTCGCTTGGGTACTCTCGCACCCATTCCCTGATTTTTTCACAGTGTCCCTCTAAAATATCTTCAATGGAAAAACAGTATTTTTGTCCTCTGATGTATACGAACAATTCGTTTACCATCTCGTTTTTGTACTAAATCGCGTTTGCTAAATTCAACTGAAGTAATAAAGTTATTATCTGTATTGCATTGGATCAGATGTTGGCAAACACGTTTCCATGGATATATTGGGTGCGAAAAGACTGGTTTAAATTTCCTCCAATCATATTTTTCCCCAAAAAAAAACCGTTTTTTCCAATATATATATTTTTTAATTTTTCCTATCGTTCGTTCTTGTTATTTCAATTTTTTTTCTAAATTGACAATTGTCATCAAAACTTTAAATGTCATTGATCTCGTAGATTCTTTTATTTTTAAAGTTGTCGCTAAAAAAAATTACTCTCAAACGAAAACAAAAGAACAACCAAAAAATTATGCAAGAATATCAAATTATATATATATATTTTTTAAAAAGTGGCTTTTGGATCCAAGTAGAAAAGTATCAACTTAATGAACAAAACATATCGTAGAGGTGAATGTATAAAGCAAACATTTAACTCCGATCTCTCGGGTTACATGAAATAAAAAATGCTCTGTCGACTCAAGTTTATGTTAGCATCCTCGGGGAATGGCCAATCTTAGACCAAATAATAAATATCCTCTTTTTTTCAGTGAATTTTAGGTATTATAAAGCAAATATTTATGAATTCCTTTTATGTTGTGGAAAATCGATAGAGGTGTTATAGCATAGAATATAAATTGTGGCGTTGGAATTACTTGTAGTCAGAAATGGACCGGCTCCACCTTTAATTAATCGTTCATCGAAACCAGTAGTCTCTGATGATACTGTAGCTCTACTGGTTTGTATTTATAATAAAGAGACAAATGTAGTACCTACGACCTGAAGCACTTATTTTTAAGTCTATACTTACAGGCTTTGTATCAACTTTTATTGAAATCAAATTGAAACTGAAGATTTTCACTTACTTTTTTTTAATAGCTATGGCAACAGAATAAATAGAATACCGAGCTTGACTTAGCCTACTTTTGTACCAAGAAATCAGACCAAAACTGTAGGAGAAGCGGTTTGAACGAAATTCACAAATTCTATTTTTAGCAACCATCGGAACACAGTTCATCGAGATCAAAAATCGATATACAAAATTGTACATAAGAAGTGTACTTGTGTATCAAGTTTTATTGGAATCGGAACAAAATTGTACAAGAAGAAGCGTTTTGAAATAATATCAAGCAAATTCGTATTTTAAGGAACCCTGATTTTAACCCCTACACAGCTTTGTGTACATTGACGTAGTAAAGTTTGATTTAAAAAAAAATTCGAACCAAAATTGCAGGGTGAGCCTTCTGAAAGGAAATTTACCATGGCAAATGTTCCTCGATAATTTTTTTTTTTAAAATTAGATATCTCTCTGTAGTCTTAATATCTACAAAGTTTCATTAGAATCAAAATAAATATGTTGAGTAGTACTGTTTTCAGTTTTTTGAAAGAATTTCAGAGAAATATGCAGCTTTAGTAACCTTGGCAAAACCATTTACATGCAGTTATCTTAGTCTGAAGTGTATACCAAATTTCATCGAAATCTAGCAAAAATATACTAGGGGTGATCAAAAAGTTCGCGAACTAATTGCATTACTTCTAAATTAGGTTTCAGACAGTGTGTATTTAAGAAATAAATAACAAGTTTAAAAACTTCAATACTTTTTAAAGTAGTCCTCTCCGGTTTCAATAACATCTGCCACCGTTCTGCCCATGCGCGAAACACGTGGTCCAGGCGGTTACGTGACATGCTCTTTTGCGTTCTGTTCACAGCAGCAAAAAGATTTTTCCGAGTCTTATAATTATTATCATGCAGGTTATTTTTTGATAACAAGAATAGTCTTTTTGTCACAAATGGCCAAATCTGGGCAATAGGATGGGTGGATAAGGATATCATCCACCAGAATGAGCATGGTGACCATCACAATCTGACTCCTCTCTTGAATGCGTCGTTTTTTAAATGTGAATCAAGTATAGGCGCGTTTCTTTATTATATCTGATATGTTTAAAATCTAAAGTAGATGATATTTTAGGAATTTAATAATTATTTTATTGTTAAGATATTGAACTACTTTTCTAACTGTAACTTGGCGATCTTTCATAACAGATTGCTCAACTACGGATACATCTCTTTCCCAGCATACTTTCAATGGGCACCAGAGCAAACATCATTTTTAACCATCTCCCTTCCTCACTAAAACAATCATCCAATTAAACTTTCTGCAAGTTCCTTGTCTTCATAAACATTGTACAAATTCTTATATGCCGCTGCAAAGGAATTTACAAGATGTACGTTAAACTTTACAGCCGTTCCATGCTCGAGTAAAACCGAGTCACCCATTTTTTTGTCACAAGTCATCTACCTATTGACGTCATTTTCACATTGTATCGTCATAAACATGGACCAAAACATTTCTTAATTTATGACTATTTGTGTGCCAAATTTGATTCTGATCTCAATTGTGGTTTTGTAAATATAGAAATAGTTCGCGAACTTTTTGATCACCCCTCGTATACTAGGAGCGTTTTGAAAGAATGTCATAGAAATTTCTATTTTTGTAACCACGACAACACTGGTAATCGAAATCAAAAATCGTTATGTAGAATTATTTACTGTAGTCTACTTGTGTACCAGAATTTAAAGGACCAAATCTTTCGATTTTTTTTAAACAAACGGACACTTTACCATCATACGTGTATAAGCTCTACGACTAGTAGAACTAAAAATATGTCAAGCCCGTCACGTTATCCAAAAAACAACCCTGAAAGCGTTCACACAAACATCAATCTTCAATGCGGGTTTGGTTCATGTACAGCTGTATATAAGCTTAAAATATATTTATCAAGGGATGCACCCTTAAATAACCCACATGTTATAAGACTAAATTGTATGCTTCCCTGTTTATCAAATCTGTGAAACTCGGCAACGACAACTCTTGATAGATAATGCATACCAAGTACATGTACATGTATATCCCAATTTGCACTCAAATATTCAAATAATGACTAGAAGTATGTACTTCTAGATGAACGATTTCAAACAAGGCTTGAGAACGGATAATTTTGGCCGAGATTCGGCTCGGCTGGATCCTTCACAGGTTTCAGTGAAGGCATCAGTTCAAGGAATCTCAACCGAGTTAAGAGAAAGGATTCTACCTGCCAAGTTTCTTCTCTTTTGCTGATAGAGATGAGGTCTTTCAACTTTATCTATAGATGCTCTGCACACATAATGGAATTTTATACACAAACATTACCTTTCTTTTTTCAACAAGAGGTTGTCTTACTGCAGCTTCACACAACAGCACATTGCAGAAGGAACAACAGTTCATTAAATAATGATAAAGATCTATTATTTATTGCTCAACATACTGACCAAAGTAACATGTCAAATAGCTGACCATGTAAACAGCATAGATTTTATGACTCAATTTCATAGAAATTATATACATCTCACAAGAAAAAAAAACATATTGAGAAAAATATAACAAAAATTGTATGTATTGTACAACGTAAGAGAGATGAAATGTTTAATGTAGCTACATCTGCATCAAAGTGTTAGCATTTTAGTAAAGTTAAGAAAAGTTATTGATATATATTTTAAGTCATCATTCTAAAAAAGTACTTTTGTTCAAAACACAAAGTTGGCAATTACTTCAAAATTTCACTTTGCTCATCCTTCAAGCATGTACAGAATAAACAACTAGTGGATATATCTGTGCAATAAAAACCACATTTGGTTTTTAATCAATTATGGCATTTCTGACTAGTACACTACATGAAATATTTCCAAGAAATAAGCAAATATACATTTCATCATGTACAAAATTGTGCAAAGAATGACATTTCAAATGTTATTTGTCATCTTTAAATAAAAAACAAACATATATCTTTCAAAAATAAAAGAATGACAAATTTTCTCACTTTTAGTTTAAATAATTTGAGAGCTAAAAGTAACCATTTCATTATCAGATAAGGATACAGAGTCAAGTTTTAGTGTAAGATGGTGTTCAAACAAAAAAACTGTATTTTTCTAGCTTACACTACTAAACATGTGAATTAATTAGACAAATCTGAGCCATTTCCACCACTTCTCTTTACACACTTATAAACAGTACATATAGACACAACACTTTCAATGCTTCCGCTTAGAGATTCTAACTATATATAACTACCTAACTATACATCATAACTTTTGTCAATTTCCAAAATCACTGTCATAGTTAAGGAGGGAAAAAAACTACTCCCAGTGTCACCAAGGGACTTTCCCAAGAAACAAAATATAGCAAGAGAAATTAGTAACTAGTTAGAATATAACTCCTTCTCAGAAACAACTGTTTATTTCAAAATGAAAACTTAAAAATATGAATCTTCTGAACCAACAGATATAACTTCTCAAAGTCTTTACACTAAATAGTTTACTTATATTTTTTTTTTAATCAAGTAAACCATAGTTAGGGGCTCCAATGTGCCTTGTGTATTGGTAGGAGTACTTCCATTCAATAAGAAATGTGACAACAGAATAAATATGCCAACATTATTACAAGCAACATGTTAAAAAATTATCTGTGAATGCCTCCATTGACTTGGTGGGAAAGTTGTAAATGGTTGAGGGAAAAAAAACATATTTTTAAAATCATATTAATGCTGCATCAATTATCACAAAATAGTAAATGTACATAAAAATGGCATGCCTCTAAAATATTTTAACACAACTGAACATAAAAAATTCTCATAAATGCGATAAAAAAATGTTTGGTCTAGATCCATTGGCTATTTTTATCTAATTATGCATTACAGTTTGTGCATTTCACAATTACAAAAAACAGTATTGCTGTTATATCATTTTAAATATAACAAGTATTTAAGATGAGCTTTCCTCTAGCAAAGAGTCTGAGTGGTCAAATACTGATGCTGGTTTAACATTGCAACTAGCCAAAATCCAAGATCCAACAAATTCTTGTTTTAACACTTGCTTGTTGTGGCTCTTGCATGCATTTATCTTTCATTTACTTTTTAAATGCAAAAACACAATATTTTTCTTGCTATATGACTGGTCTACTGGGCACCTTCTTTTCTGTGTCCCAAGATGGTTACAATTCATTTGTAACTGGTATCAATTAAAACAAAATCACCCAGTGTTTTGACCATAGATTGAATAAGGCCACGTTCAATTGCATCAGTCACGTATGTTTTCATGCAATATTCTAAACAGTGCATATACACATATCCACTATTAATAAACCAGAAAAAAATAGCATTATAATCCCTGAAAGAAAAGTTTGTCTCTTCAAAAAAAAAATCTTACTGAGGACATTGGTAACATTTGTTCTTTACAAAAAAGTTTCTAATACACCAATTATAACAAAATGACACAATGTGCACCAGAATACCAAAAATGTGTGCTGTGAATATGTTTTTGGATTTCTAGTACATTTGTGAATGAACTAATAATTTAAGGACAATATTAAGCAGACTAATCTTACAAGATAAAGAAAACTGGCCAAAATTCACCCCGAGATTCACACACCTCATAAACAATAAGACACATAACCAACACTGAACACAATGCTTACACAGAGATTTCAACATTGCTTAGTATGCTGTTGACCTTTATACACATATATACATGTGTACTTCAATCTATATATGTAATGGGTACAAGATAAAATTTATACAAAATAAAAATGCCTGTTTTAAAAAAAAAATCATTTGCTCATAAAAATGCAGCTCTACTGGTCAAATAAAGGTTAAACTTAACAGAAAACTTTATTTACAAAAGCAAATCTATCATATTCTGTTAATGTACATGTGCTTCAAATGTACATAATTTAAATTTTTGAAAATTTGACTTATAAATCAAATTTATAAATGGGGGGGGGGGGGGGTGAGGTTGGATATTAATGGAGATTTTGAAATAAATGTACCACTTTCCATAAAGAACTGATAGGTAATATATATTTTCTTGTTTTTTATGAATATTTCAATTTTAATAATAAGGTCATCCAAGTCTCAAATCAAACATTGTGATACCAGTTCATGTTGCTGACTTTAAATGCCCTTACACAACAGACAGACACTTTCAACAACATATGATTAGTAGTGGTACTTGTCCATTATAAATTCATTATATTTCATCATAAGATAAAATCATCAACTGTAACAATAAATACAATATTTGTACAATATACAAAAACAATCAAAAATACAAACCAGAGAATACGATTGTAAACAAATGAAGTGGTTAGTTAAAATATTCAGCAGAACATTGCACAACCCTTTTTACTTCAGCATCAAGAAAACCTACTTGTCAAGGTGCAACTTGTTCACATGAAAAAAAAAACCCTGAAATTTTACTTTTCATTTTATAACAGCACTGATTTGGCATTACTATGCACTGATCCAAACACTGAATCATTCTTGGCAGTATGGTTTGATTTTCAGCAGACAGATATGAACACAAAACTACAATAACAGCATTAATTCAGAAACTGAGTCCTCAAGTTCTATAGTGGTGTAAGAGTCTTGTGATGTGGGGGTCATGATGGGACACAGGTAGGGGAGGTAATGGTCTATGCAACATGAATTCATTATCGTCATGTCGATAATGAACGTTCCTCACCACCACGTTTAAGTGATCCTGTTCACTCTCAACACTTTCACTGGCAGATTTAACACCGTTATATTTTCCCTTACCCTCATCAAAATGTCTTTTCTCTTTCCAACAGAGAATTCTGTGGTCCCTTGCCTGTAAGATGATAAAAATGACCCCAAACAACAAGATGGCAGAGGTGCATAGGATGATGACCCAGACAAAGAAACTCAGCATATCTGGGTCCAAGAAATTCATGATTAATTTCTTGCGACATAAGTTGTCTCGAAGCTCATAACCCTTCTTGCACTGAAAGCAGTCCTCTAGTTCAGGACCTTTGCACGTCTTGCAAGCCTCATTACATGGGTTACAAGTCCCATGGCGAAAAAACATGGTCTCTTTTTTGGCTTTTTTTGAGCTGTTTTTTCTTGACATGACCGTTTCCATGTCACCATAAAAATATTCAGGGCAAGTTGCAACACACTCATCCTTGTGCTTGTAGAATCCAATTTTACATTCTGAAACAAAGAATAAAATTTTTAAACATTTCTGATGCATAAGTACTCGAAGGGACAAGTACACTAAAACTCTTCGTACACTCAAAAGTCACATCCAACTTCCTCTCATATTCAAATCATTTCCTTACCCTATAAGTTCTACAATACGTGAACCAAATGCTATCAAACTTTTCATATTATGGACTGAGTGCATAATGCACTGCTTTAATCAAAACATCACTGAATTAAAATTTACAATAAGTAACATCACAGAAAATACACATATACAAACCAAAGCATGTGCCCTCTGGACATTTATTTGCCTGCTTGGAAAACACTGGTTGAGAAATATTTTGGCTCTGGGGGTGTTTGTCTGTTCCATAAATTGTCATTTTCCAATCCTTTAATTCAGCTGTAACAAAAATATCCAGCATTCATTCAAAGAAATGAAAATACTCATAAAGATATACTGTAGTATGCATGTCATTCTTCATAAGATTTATGAAAGATGATTTATAAAATGATCTACACTAACAATATCTATAACTGTCTCTAAAGCTTTGGACACAGCCATTTAGCATGGTTTTATACTGTATCACAACTGGACAAGTGAAACTTATTAAGAACATCATGCACACATAAACTACATAAAACAACTACATCAATGGGATGGAATTCAGATAACTTCAGTTTTTATGATATGAACTAATGATTTTCTTCACTCTGATTGGCTGAAATACCATTATCCAGACAAAAAAAATTGATACTGTAAACCATCTATTAAAACTGACAACTTTTATTTGTTTATATTCATCAGCCTGAAATTCATCTGCGGCTATTAGATTTTGGGACTGATGAAAAATTCTACATGAAAACCACAAGTAAATAGATAGTTTGAAACAAGAAATATTCCAGAAGGAAAAGAAAGCACTAAAACTTGTTGATATTTCTTGCACACAAATAAAGTTGGTTTACAGTATTATATGTACCCCTGCACTATTTTCTGACTATTAAACATTGCTCAAGAGCCTTGCATGTAATAGTGAAATTATTCCTGGTTGTTTGATTATTAATGTTAAATAAACAGCATAATGACAAGACACTTTATGCAGTACTTTCTGATTTTCGTATCATTCTTCATGCAGGTAATTGATGAGAAAATGGTCAACAAATCAATGTGTTCATATAATAAAATATTCATTGACTGTATTTGGTCAATACAATTATTTGGCCACGGCTCTCATAAACAATATTAACCCAAGCCTTTGAATGTGTGAATATTGTTCTTGTTGAGTATAGCTAAATGACTGTTTTGACCTCGTACAAGTCAACAGCTGTATCATAATTGTAGGGTATCTCTTTCTCTCTCTCTCTCTCTCTCCAGAAAGTGAAAGAAAGATAATTTAAGATTGCTTCTTGCCTTACTGTGAAAAGTTTTAAATAACTCAATGTGTAAAAAAGATGACATAAATTACCTCCTTAAACAAAAGAGCTAGTGTACAGTATGAGATGTTATTTGTTCATATACCAAGCATTAATATGCACTACCTAGTAACAAATACACTCCTTACAATAGAATTTGGTGTGATATAAACCCTAAATTTTTTTTAAAAGTGTAATATTTGTGGTGCATTATATATATATTTGAGAAGGTGTGAATAGGCAATTAAGAGAGTAAAATGACTTCTCTGTAACTTGAACTGATGGATATTTTATTGGATGAATTTTACTGGGAAATATCAAGCATTATCATTAGATTTTTGCAGGTAAAGAAATAATACGAGAATGTATATGATAAAAAAGATTAAAATCTTTAGAAATATATATATTTAGATGTGTTTTAAATGGGACTATATATGTAAAATCATGACCTCTGAAGAGTAACAATTTAACACTGTGCTACAGATTACATGGGTTGTTTTTTTTTTAATCATCTTTCTACAGTAAACACTCTTGTCATGTTCACACTTTCTATATTAAACTCACACCTCCCTGTTGGTGACAAGCCTGGGCAATGAACTTTCAGCATTTTAACAGAATTAGAAGTTGACACTTATACATTCAACCTGCAGCATTTCAATTCAACATTATAGGTAGAGGTTTACATAATAAGGTTGCACTTTCAATTTTCCTCTCCCCTAGTTGCCATTTTTGATGCCCCACCCATCTAACAATGACAGAAAATAACATAATGTGTGATTACTTTCTTAAATGCCTAGTTATCCCTACTTTATTTAATATCAAAATGTTTTTCCAGACAATAGCTTAATATTGGTAGAACATGTAGTTAAGAAAGAGCAAAAGTCTTTAATTGTAGTTATTATACGGAATGATAAAGGATATTTCCAATTTCCCAAAAAAACACAAAACGAAATTTTTTTTTTTTAAATTTTGTTGGAAAAGAAAAGTAACATTGTATACAACTCCACTGAAAAGCATGAAACCACTATCAAACATTAACTTCTAACATCTATTTAACAAATTTGAAGATGCAATACCACTTCATTTGTAAGTTATTATTATTAAGCTACCATGCATCCATATGCTGTCATGCACTTTGAATGCATTTCACTTTCTGAAACTTCATTAGCATTTGTTTCAGTGCATATGCAAGCTACAAAAAAAGGATGTAAACATATCTGTCTCTGACGAAATAAAATTAAGGAGAGTTGAGAGATATATAGGACCACAGTGAAGTTGTAGAACTAAAACTGACAACATCTCAGAGAGGTTGGGCATGCAACAGACAGTATGGCTTGCCTTCCGAGAGATTAGACCGCACCATCCTCAAATATTCACCAGTAGACATGTTGTTTTTCTTGGCCAAAGTCTCAAAAATGCAAATGTGTTTCTCATGCGATGGATGGTTGCCATAGTAATACTCATAGTCAGTGTTGATTTGTTTAGGGTATGTTATTGGACGATTCCTGTTCCCATAATAACGGGAATGGTGTCCCCTGATTTTATTGACTTCAGGGTTAGGTAATGGAGGAAACCCACCCTCTTTATTGTGCCGCTTATGGAGACTGTTCCTGTCGGCAGCCGTTGTGGTGCTGGTGGTGGTCTTGGGCATGTCCTGGGGGTGGACTTCTGTCCCATACAACACAAGAACCCAGTCTTTCATCTCTGCCCATCTGACTGCAACAGAACATGTATTAAAACACACTTCAGAGAGTAAGTATCTGGCTCAGTGTCCATTTTATCTCTCTCATTTGTTGGCCAGCAAAACAAAATCCATACACAAGATCAGTTTGGTATATATATAAAAAATCCCTTAAATTTCACCTAAAATTTGTATAAAGCTATTGATTTAAATAAAGTAAGTCTAACCAAAACACTCCGAGATATCCTAAACAGAATATGTATATAAATTCTTATTTATGCCCTTACTATTTCTTCAATTTTACTATTTTCATTACACAATAAAGACACTGAAAAAAGAAAAGTGTAGTTTATAATGAAAAAGTAATACAATCTGTACAAGGATTAATAACTAAGACTTTGAAACAGCAAAAACCATATGAAAATAAACATAAGCAATATCAAAGCTGTAAACCGTATATTTAAATCAAAATACAAAACTAGAGTTGTCCTATTAGGATATGCACTTCAGATTCAGGACCGTTATTCAAGGTCTGCCAAAAAAAAAAACCAACAAACAAACAAAAAACAAAACAATTTTACCTTTTTACACTTGGGACAATAATTTTCTTTCAAGCCTTACTAATCATGAACTAGCTTAATTTATTACTTCTATTCAGAACCATGACATACCAGCTGGTACCCAGAATGAAAAGATGCTTTTGCCCACCTGATCTTGGCACCAGATCATGCCGTATTCTTTGTTCATTAGCATGCTTCAAGTACAACACTCTTATTGTTTCCATTATAAGTTTATGCTTCAAACAATGGAATGGACAAACATATGTACAAAATGGTTCTTTTATCCGTAGAACTTTGTTTTTGGAAGTAAGAAAATGTACTACGTAAATAACAAGACTGATTTATTTCTATTAATTACATTTAAAGAAAGCATCATAAAGAAAATCTGAAATAATAAGAATATATAACAGAAAAATAAGGCAAGCAGAAAAAAGGAGACTCTTACAAAACATACAGCAAACTTTTCATGCATTAGTACCCAAAACAGATGGCCAATATATTTTTCCCTGTAAATTTAACAAATTTAAAAAAAGATATATATTGCAATTTTCACACTGGATATTTTTCAAAAGTGTTCTGAAAATGTCTCTACTCAAAAACAAGGGAAAAACTTATTTATCTACATATTATCTCTGTTATAATTTACTACCCAGAAGGAAAAAAAATGCCCTGCATTTCAGTATAAGCTAATTGTAATATTTTGCTGCAGTTTCCATCAAAATAGTTTGTATCAGTACTTTGATTTGGGAGGATTGAAATGGATTATAACAAGTTGATTTCCCATGTCAACTTTGGTTTCACTATGCTTGACTCCTTGACAATTTTTTCACCAAAAAAAATGGATGTTCTACAAGCATTGTTAACAACTTCTGAACACAATTACTTAGCCTACCTCTGAGAGCCTAGCAAAAACAAAAAAAAAGAAAATCTTAAATCCTTTATTGTTTGTAGACTTATAATTTTGTTTTGAATATGAAGAATATTGTTAAACATTCCAGTCAAACCAAGCTTTCCCAAAAAAAAAAATTCTGGTTTTCTAACAAACATTTTATATTAGCTAGGGCTGGGTATCGGTGGGGAATTTCGTATTGCGATATATTGCGATATTTGGAACTGTATTGGGATATGTATTGCAATATTTCGAATGACAGATAAAATGCATTTTTCTTATTTTATTCACCTTTATTTATAAGCAGAGTTATTTAAAACTTTCATGAATATGGTGTAACAAAAAAGTTCTAGTTGATTTCACTACAGTTTGTCAACGAAATGCAACCATACAACAGAAACCTTTACCATTTGGTACTGTTTGGCATGATTGAAAACGTTTCTGACATCTTAAATTTCATATTTACTTTATAAATCTAAAACCCAAGCATTTTGACGGTATATCGGTACAGGAAAACAAATCGGAATATGATATTTTTTTGATAACGAACCGCAATATACCAGAATATCGAGCTCTATTTTATATGTATTATTTCCAAATTTTAAGGGTACAAAAGCAATTTTACCAAATCTTATTTAAAAAAGGAAATAAAAATGTTTTTTTTCCAGAATATTTGCTTAGTATTCAGATTTCCCACTGCTTAACTGCATCCAGAGAAATAACTTATTTTATTTTTATCATTTCAATTTCTGGAGATTACCTCTAGTTTTTTTTTCAATAGTTAATTTTTATTTTTCTGGAAAGTGATTAAAAAACAAAAATTATAGAAATGTAATAAATTTTCAAACGTATGACCAGAAAAGTCCCACTCTGGGGCCTGAACCTAGCTGCAGAACTGTAGCTCTCCGAAAAAAAAATATTGACAGACCAGAGAGCTAGTGCCACTCATAGAAAAAATTGTATATTTATTGCGCACAAAAAATTGTGCTCGGTTATGGATTTATTTCTCTGTATATATAAACTGCCATCTCAAAATATTACTAACCGGCTGTTACGAAGATATTATTTTACTATTTCCACAACAAAACATTCCCTGGAACCTTTGGAAATAGTCCTACTGGTCCTGAAATGAAGACCATCGGAAATTTCGCTTATTTACACTGCCATTTTGGGTGGCAAGACAATGCCGTCCACAGTGCTTCATGCAGATGTAAACTACAACAGTAGTTGATAGAGGTCTAAGGAATTTCTTGAGATCCAGTTTTTGTGTAGATGAGGTAAGAATTTAGAGAAATAAAACAGGAATCGAGCGCAATTTTTTGTGCACAGTAAATATAGTTTTCTCTATGGGTGGCACTGTAGCTCTTCGGTCTGTCAATATTTTTTTTTCGGAGACCTACAGTTATGCAGCTAGCCTGAACCCTGTTATGGTAGATGGCTAACTGCTCTTATACTGTAGATCACTTAATTTTCATGACACTTTATTTTCTCAAATTTGTTCCTTGGTATTTAAAAGCAAGACAGAAGTCATGAATTTTGGTCATTGCTCTGTATAATCTTTAATAAATTTTTCAAAGGAATTTTTGTGAGCAGACAGTCTCATTTAATTACATGAAAAAAAAAAGTTCTAGCGAATAAAAAGTGATTTACAGTAATCATGCAAACCTTATTCCTGCTAAAAGTCCATGGATATGATTACTGTATACAGGGAAATTTTCACCCCACTCACAGGTGGGCGAGTTTAAAATTGGGAGAATTCAAAGAACACAGTATAATTTCTTCAACAGAACTGTGACTAGGTGAATTTAAAAGGGGGCAAAATTGTTTGCAAATGTGAAAAGGTGAAAATAATCCTGTATATAGTGGTTTCATTAAATGACCAACTTAACCCCACCCTGAGACCTACCTATGGTCATGTCTTTTACAATTTTGATTGATATCAGTCAAGAAAATTTTCAAAGAAGTTTTTTCTATATTCACCAACTTAGCCCAATTTTTGCTTCCCTTTATCCATTTATCCTATAGAATAAAACTGGTTGAAATAGTCCAGCCATTTCAGAGAAGAGGCTAAATATGATCAAAAGTTCACAGATAATGCATGACAACAGATGAGAATAGGTAGCAATGGGTTCCCTAAGTGACTAAGGTGGCTTAAAACTGAAATCCTAGTTTTGTTACAAGTATACCCAGTGTTAATTCTGAAAGATAAAATATTTGTGTATGTGTGTGTGGATGAATGTATATCTCTATGTGGGTTGCATATGTATGTTTATGAATTGCACTATGTGACAAAATATTTTTTTTTTTTAAATTATATCTACAAAAAATATGTCACTCCTCCTGTCAACAAGAAAACATTCCAGTAACAAACAAGATGTTAATATAAAAATGAAGTGGTATGTAAAGTTCATGCTCTTTAAATAAAAAAAAAGAAGAAATGAACCAACATACTCCAGTGTTTCCACACTAAGTGACTAAAATTAAAGGAAGTGTTCAGCCAAGAAAGCAGTTCATTCTGTTACACTGGATACTTACATGAGCTTGCTCCATTCTCTATCTGAAGGAACCAGGTACCCTCTGCTTCCTCCCCCCAATTGTGCGTAGTCATGAAGGCCCAGTTGTTGAAGCCCTCCCGAGATATGTCTCGTGCACGTCGAGCTAAGAGAGTAGATTTAGTGTTTCTTGGTGATGTAAGGTAGATCTCTATCTCCCCTCGCCTGGCTGCAGTGAGGGTTATTCTGGCCTGGACGTGCTCAACATACTTCACGTAATTGTTGGTACCCTTACATCCATCGGTAAACAAGGAAACTACCATCTTGCCATTCATTGGAATTTGCCTACATAAGATAATAGTATTTAGTTATCTGTCTAACATAAGAATGAACAATCTGAAGTAATTTACATAACATTAAAGTTTTGGAAGAGTTGTGATAGAACCACTGTTTATCAAAAATAGAGACAAGAGACGTTCACCCAATACAAATTTAAACTTTCCAAGCTTAGCATTAGAAAGTAAAATCAATAAATCATCAAGAGATAAAGGTATTCTAAAACTCAAAACCCTTAATGTCAAACACTGATTCACTCAATTTAAGACATGATGGAACTGCTGCTTTAAATGCAAGGCATCTTAACAGGATAAATGTTTACTTGTTGCGTTCCTGGGAGCGGATCTCACAGATGTGCTGGGGTGGAACGGTGGTCCAGTTGCGAGCAAGACGTACCATGGCCCCAGCATCCATCAGACCAAATCCAAACGAATGGCTAACTAAAAAAACATTGGGACATTTCTTTGAGTTATCTCCCTTTGGCCATACAACACACTGTTTCTCTAATCAAAGCTAGTTTCAAAATTTGTCTAAGTGTCATCATGAAAAATTGAATAAAAAACAAACATCCTAATAAATTAATTTTGCTCATTTCTTACCAAGTCTGCCGACACCATTAGTTGTCCAATCTGGGGCATCCAGATTTGCCTTGCGTGCTGTCATGACAACAATGTGCTGCATGTCACGCCAGGTTAAACTTGGACTTTTTAAATGAAAGACTGTGTGTTAATCCTCAGAAATATAATAATGACATTTAACAATTGTATTTCCTGTTTGATATTATCATCCAATTATTTTTTGGTCAAATCAATGCTGCAGTATATACAAAAGTAATAAAAAAAAGTATCACATTTTTGAAGCTGATATACATGTACACAACTCAATTTGTTCTTATATTCAACTGCAGCCTTTTTTCTAATCTGTAGATTTACATTGAAGTTTAAACATTAGTTGTTGGACATACTTTGCCTCCAGGGCAAGGGCACAAATCCCTGCTGCCAAGGGAGCACTTGCTGAGGTCCCCGTGTGATTGACGGTGCACAACTTTCTCAAATCTGTGGTCACCTACAACATATTTGAAAACAAGAAATAGTATATACAATCAAGCCACAGTAATCTGGAGGCCAATTATCTTAACATCTCACCTTCCACAAGAATAATGTGTGGAAGAAATTTACATCTGTATGTAAAAATTATTAAGGGTACATTTCATACAGAAATGTGGATGGTTCATTAATCCATGCAATTTGCCTGGGAACACAAATGTCCAGATAATCAAGGCTTGCTTTTATACTTTCTTAGATAAGTAACTGATGAGAAGTATATCTAAATCTTGAATATGACTGTGTCCACAAAAATTAAGTAACTATTTCCAGCACAACATGGCAGATTTCTTTTAAAATTAAAGAAGTCTAAAACTCACACATATAAAATATATCCTATATTCTAGTTTCAACTGATCTCCTTAATGACTTACTATCTGTCGTTCACCCCCTGATCCACTGCTGTAGGTGGTAGCTAGAGTGGAAGAACAGGCCTCTGAATACCAGGGAATATTACCAAACTCAGTGGCACTGCTGATAGAGAGGGTGTAGATACTGTTTGTGTAGCCATCACAATTACAACTGTCCCCATCACGACCCCCATTACCTGATGCCCACACAAAGATTGAACCCAAACCACCTCGGCCCTGCAAAAATAAACTTATGATTTCTCAATCCTGCAGTAACTTCTCGTTTACTTTGTCAGTTTTATTTTTTGGTCAGATTATCTTTTTAGAGTTTTTTCAAGAGGACAGAGTAAGACCTTTGTAATTCCATCATAGAAAGCTTTCCTGGCCAGTGTTGCGGGACCATCTACTGTTCGACCATCATCATCTGGACCCCACGAGGCACTATAAATATCTATGTGGTTATTCCTGAGACTAAGAGACTGAGCTTCAACAGAGTCTGTCACATCACCATCCAACATACGCACGCCTATCAAACAGAAGAATATGTGGTTAAACAAAGTAAAATGGGGTCTGAAATACCAACTGACAAATTCCTAAATCAACTGGATTTTCAAATCTAATGTTGATCTTATCTTCTTGAATATGATTTTTTTTTCTATCTCAAAAACAGAAAAAAAGATCAAGGTGTGTAAATACAAATGGATGAAAAAACAAGAAGTCTGTGAGCGAATGCTCACTAGTAATACCCCCGCTCTGATGTGAATATACCCTCTCATGTTGACATCAAATTCATACAAAAATGAATCCCACCATTTGGCATGCCTAAACAAAGATTGTGCTAAAATTTCAAGCATCTTTGCTGAGTAGTTGCCGAGAAAACTGTGACAGAAATTTGGTATGGACAGACGCACGGATAAACTGGAAGTTGACGTCACATTTGAACAAAAATGAACCCCACCATATGGCATGCCTAAACAAAGGTTGTACTAAAATTTAAATCATCTGTGTTGCGTAGTTGCTGCGAAAACTGCAACGAAAATTTATTATGGACAGACACACGGACACACAGACAGCTAGACAGACACACATAGGTAAAACAGTATACCCCCCTCTCCTTCAGAGCGGGGGTATAAATATTCATATATATCCCTAGAGCTATGTCTCAAGGACACCAAAATCTATGAAATTCTTAATTTTCTACTGAACAGTCATAAGTCTGCTTACCTCCAATCCTTGCATTATAAGCCACCCCAACCCCACATATCCCATTATCTCCCTTGGCAGCCACTTCTCCTGCACATCTGGTGCCATGCCTACAATGGGAGAATTCACTAAATGAAAACTGCATAAAGGTTCATAAAAATTAATATTGAATTATGTTTTGTTGGACATAAGGATGGAGTCTGGGAAGTAAAAGTCAATGATTACACTAAATGTTTTTTAATAAAGACTTGACATTGTTAAATCTTATAATTACTAGTAAATCTGAAATTGTCATTTTTTAAAAATCCTAACACTATGTAGTGCAATGATTCTGTAAATGCAACTATTAAGAAATATTATGTTATTTTCAGCTGACATATATATATATATATAAGATCTCAAAAGTGACCTTGACTTCCAAAGGTAAACAAATTACAAATGCAGGGTCTGTCATAAATCTACACTGGGTTCACCATCTGATTGGATTTAGGCCACAGATGTTACTAGTTAAAGCATACAAACAGGTGTTCCCCCTACAGTTATAGCTCCACAACCACTGCTAATGTCTATGTGTTTGTACCAACATCTCTGATACACTACAAGTTCCTATTTTTCGGGAGGAAATCGATCAGACATTATCAGATAAAGTGGGATTCTTTTCTCCTGCTGTTACCAAATGTATGTTTTATAAGCATTTGATTCTAGGGCATGATATATATCTATCCTTAAAATAAATGTTTACTTCCAAGCCTTGATGCCTTGTCTGAAATTTCCACATCATGTCTACCACTGTTCAAATCAACAGACATTTATGGATCATCACCCCCCCCCCCCCTTCCAAAAAAACAAAAAACAAAAACAAAACAAACATTGCAATATTCACAACATTTAAAAGCATTTTGATAATAGTTAAAAAATATTTTTCATCATTATTTTTGTTTTCATTTTCTTTTCCATCTAGGTCAAATAAAATAAAAAAAATAATTTAAAAAAGATATGACCAATCTTCACATATCATAACAAATCTTTAAGATTTGTGTCATATCATGACAGTTATATTTAATTCCTATCAATTCTTCTAGAAAACTCTAAGGTGTTGCTTTAGCATCTTCATAATCAATAACAACTGCCAAACCATCCACTCTTTTATCTTCATTAACTTCCAAAAAAAACTCTTATGATTAAAAGTCACATATCTTATACAAATCAAACTTCTAGCACTTGTTTAAACAAATGACCCAAAAGCAATTAAAAGAAAAAAAAAATTCATTAATACAGATTCTGGGCAATGAATGGAAATCTCAAATAGTTCCTAAAGAGGGACAGGGAAGCATTTCAGAGTCTTGTAGAACAAATTAAGACGGAAGATAGTTGGTCAAATCAATACGGAGGACTGATCACATCATCAGAACACACAGAGAGGCAGCCATTACTGGAAACAGAGGAATCTGGACAGGAGTTCATTAAGAAGTTTTAATATTCCAGACATGCTAGGTTTTCAGAGCTGTAATTTTACATCCCACATGGCTTCATTTGCTTTATCCTAAATTTACACACAATTCTTGTCTGTTATATTGTTTCTACCAGGCTGTATTTAATATCAGATATATTATGCATATTGATGCAAAATTGCAAAACAATAACTATCCCTTATAAAGTATGGCTTCATCATGTTCACGGAAAGATTTTCATACCTGGAACACATTAATCATAAGGGTCTAATTTGGCCAAACTTTCAGATGATAGGAAATTTAAGTTTTATACAATAAATATACCTATATAAATTTTGAAGTTGGGCTTCTCTGTTTTATCACATTTCCATGCAATTTTCTTGAGAAGTAAAGACATCTCAAACTTCCTCACTTTTTGCAGTTGATTTTAACAGGTATTTGCTGCAATATGCTTTTAAGTTGAATTCATTCCAATACACTTTTAATAGACCAATTTTCTATTTAGAGAATTCATGAACTACAGACATATATTTTTCATTGGGGGATGTTTGAACAGTTAGAAAGCTAGTTTTCGGATTAATGAAATTATTTAGGGCTTAATATGGTAAGAAAAATGTGAAGTCTTAAACAAACTGCATTTTTTGAACACTGATTATACAATCACCTGTTTTCATTGGTGTAATCATAGTGAGGCTGTGGGTCTTCATCATGAGAGTTTACATCATAACTAGCATCAGCATCCTATAAAACAAAACACAACAGGGAAAATTTAAAAATGTGCTGTAAAGTCTCAGATAAGTCAAAAGTCTCAGGTACATGTAATGAGTCTTTATAGAAGAAAATACAACATAACAATAAAACAGCCTTCCTGCTAAATTTTTGTTTGAAATTCTTGAACTTCAAATATCTTTATGGAGTTCAACTCATCGCAGATTTTACTGCATTGTTTATGCAATAGTAAAACCAACCCTAGGTCAAAATTTTGAAGAAAAAATCTTTAGGTCTTCATCAAAAGCATACCAAATTCAGTCCATTAGTGGTTCCAGATTTTGCAGCATGGACATGATTTTTATCTCATTGCCAAGTGAAGCTGCATGAGCATTAAAATGTGTCCTTGTGTTCAAATCAGGACAAAGTTTAATACCTCAATATCTTAAATAACTCCAACCCACTATGTGTGTGAAGATTTAATGACTTCATTGCTTAGCAACCTTGATCTTTGACATTAAGAGTTCAAATTATAACACATTTATCCGTCTTTCAAATCAATAAACATGTACTCATTTTAATCATTAATAAAAGTTTCCAAACTTAATTCTTACAATTGGAGTGAGGAGGATCAAGGAAGGAAATGATTTATCATACAATATCCTTTGCCAATGCATGAGTTTTGTCTACAGTATCTTTTTTAACTTTGTATCTTGAACATCAACATTGCGAATACCACGGATTTGTCAAAGTGACTTGGAAGTCCCAACTACTTTTTCTAGATTTTTAACTTCAATATTTTGAATCTTCAGATTTCTCAAAGTACCATGTGCTAGAGTGACAGTGACCTTTTTACTATCAAACACACTCATCACTTCTCGGATTCCAATATGTGGATTTAGATGTCTTCTCTTCATTTCTCAACAACTTCATCGGACATCCAGAAACTTAACTTGCTGTAGACTGACCTTTCACATTTTTTTGGCAGGAACTCTCATTTTGAAACAGAAAACTGCACTTATCTCCTAAAAATTTTTGCACATTAACTTTAAAGTTTGTTGTCATAATTAAATGTGATCACAGATTTTAACAAGATTCAATACTTAGGGATTTTTTTTTTGTTTTGTTTTGGTTTTTTTTTGTTCCTTGTGCAAGGAACAAACACACTATTTATATATACATGTAAAGGCCATTGCAGAAAACAGGCAGTAGGTGTTACTATTTGAGAGCAACATCATGTATGTTTAATGAGCGGAGAAGCCTCTGAGTTCAATTACAGAGGTTCTGGATTAATAAACTACCTCTGGTTTCCACTCCCCCTCAACACTTTATCCATTACTCTTTCCACCACTAAGTATTTTTTGCTTTGCCTTCATTAATCTCCACAAACCATATTTCCCCATTACACAAGATCTGTATAATGCTCCCATGAGAACCAGATACACTCTCTGTAGAACAACATTAGCTCTTGCAAAATGAAATACATTTTTGGGTCAATGAAATTAGTCTAATTTGATAGGGCTAGAAAAAAAGTGTGGTTCCGGTAGCCTGACCAACCCTAACTTTACCTACTGACCCTACTACCCTTTATTCCAAACCCAGATTTTAAACCATACTTTTGTTCACTAGTAGTTTTCTCAGACTGCAAAAATGTGTTTCTCAAAGTACATGTGTTTAGATGCTATTCATATATAAGCATATATATGAATATATATATGAAGAAAAAAAATAACTGATGCTGTAAAGTAAAAAAAAAAAAAAGAGTTATTGCATACCAACCTACCATATTTTTTGGCACATACTGGTATATGTATAAATACATGTAACGCAGTGGCATAGACTGTGATGTCAAAACTAAGCAGTTGTGAGATGTCACAGCTTAGGAATTGTGTAGAAAAAAAAATAAGCAATAATTTGGAGAAATATTGGCTGTTTTAGTCAGAGTCAGGGTTTATTCAATCTTGATATTATAGAGAATATTTTCTCGAACACTCTTTGTGAAGGGGTGGAAAAATTTTTTTTTCACTGTGAAAATAACATTATTTTCAATAAAATAAATAAATTACAGTATTTCACTGTTGAAAATGTAATATTTACATTTCCAATGTCTTTGTCCGAGATAAAATTACAAATTGTAAAAATACTTTATTTCTACATAAATCTACTGGTTCACCGAAAGGCGCGGTTAAAAAAAATCACGTGCGGGGCGGGACAAATACAGACAGAAGCGGGGCTATTAGCACGGGAATTTGCAGAATCAGGAGCATGTAAATATAAGGAATAACTGTCAGATTTTTTGGATTCATGACGATGATCAATCGATTGGCTTGCGTGATAATTTTATGCATAAACGCCTTCGGCGTTTATGCAAATTATCACGCAAGCCACTCGATTGATCACATCATGAATCCAAAAAATAAGACAGTTATTCCTTAAATAAATATGCAGTTGAACTTTGTTACCTCAAACTTCAGTATCTCAAATACCAAGGATACGTCGAAGTGAGTTAAAGGTCCTAACCACCTTTTCTATCTATATTTTAACTTCAATTATCTAGAATCATCTAATATCTCGAAGTTTTTTCTTGGTTCCACTGGGTTTGATATATATTAGGAGGTTTACACAGAGTTACACATACATAGTTATCCATCAGATCAGGATGGTCCTTCTCTATGCCATCGTCCAGTATAGTGACCACCACGTTCCGACCAGTGACACCCTGCTCCCAGGCACTCTTAACATTCATATCCAGTCCACCACCTCTTATCTGAAAAAAACATCTTCATGAATTTCCAAAGAATATATTAATATAAATAAAGGAAAACATCTCTGTCAGAACAAACTTAGAAGAATGTCATAAATGACATAAATGGTCCAGGCTAAAAATACATGTACCAATATAATAACTAAAAGTGCGAGGCTGACAAAGTCTTCTGGAACTGTGGAGACATATCAGCAATTAATATTTACTTAATTAGTCAACAATATAAGATCCAGTTATAGACTTCATGGAATTTCTCTCGTTATCGCACAGATGTGCAAATTGTAATCCAAATGCTTCTTATAAATATATAATGAATTATGGGTTGTAAAAACAATCCTACTTCTTATTGTTGATTATCTCCATGTCAGAATCTGTGTTTGTATCTCATGCTGAAATGTCAGCTTGGAAAAGTGTAGTGGTTATCCCAGACATTTTATTTCCATCATGTACTTGTAAAAACCTCCTGACACAATGACACTTAATGTGTACTTTGTCAATTGGTATCTCTGTCCATTATCTATGATGGGGCAGAGAGTGTGAAACAAAGGTTTTCCATTAATATGATATGGGCAATTAGGAAAGTGCATATGTCACTCTGGGATCCATGGAAATGTCATATATATATATATATATATATATATATATATATATATATATATATATATATATATATATATATATATATATATATTTATAATCACGTTCCGCTTAGTTTACCTGTGAAATTCGGATTAACTGTTGTTGACAAGTTCCGAATAAACGGACCCTGAACCCGATGTATATAAACTACTAAAATATTTGTCAATAAACAATGAACGAAAGAATTGAACAATAATTAATTTATTTGAACTTTGTCAATTTGATTTATGTATTGTAATGACAAAGCGTTATATTGTATATGTTCTATATAGATACAACATTATTTAGTAATTTTACTGGTTAAAACCCACTAACTTACAAATTAGATATTGATTGTGACATTATTGGTATCTGATGTTTATATGTCATAACAACTTTTGTCTATAAAAGACAGCTGTTTTGTGTTTAGAAGTCAGTCTGCAGTAGGTAGCAACTCTGTATATTTCGGGTGTAAGACAGTGGTACGTACAAACAGTACCAAGTCTATGTATACAAAATCATTAGTGAAGAGTCATTTAGAGTAGAAACGTCCTGGATTGACCATTGGTTCGTCGTCTTTGTCTTTATCAAATAACGTTGTATAAATCAAGTTTATCATTGTGCTTATAACTGAACCATTTGATCGTCTTAATAAATATCATAAACTTTACAATGTGTTATTCATCACGGTTCTAGTGCAGATATTATAGTGAACTAAAATTTGGTCATTTTCCAATTATTTAGTGGACCAAAAATTGGTCATTATTCCGATTTTATATAAATTTTGTGGACAATCATTTCAACCTTGACCAGTTATGAGAAACCAACAGCAGCCCACGATTAACTGATTAAGTAATAACCTTATACCCTTGGTTTCATTTCTCTCTCTCTCTCTCTCTCTCTCTCTCTCTCTCTCTCTCTCTCTCTATATATATATATATATATATATATATAATCTTACATGTATTTAATATTTAAACAGAAACTTTTACATTTAGATGGGTTTCAGTATGCAAATTATTTATAAGTGTGCAGAAGTGCTAAATGTAGAAATATTTTGACTTTCAAATGAGCCTATTCTCTAACTGAAAAGATTACAATTTACTTAATAGTGTACAGCTATAAGTACATACTATTTGACTTCCACATTCCTTCTCCAAATTGAGAATGGATGATCTAGCAACATTAAACCTGTCTATAAATATTAGTAATACTTTATATACTAGGTATATATTATAACAATGTTTCATTTTCATCAATTTCAAAAGTTCCCCACACAGTTGAACATGAAGCTTCTACATGTACCAATGAAGCCTGAGCATCACCTGTAAGCATCACTTTATATCTCACTTCAATCTTGCTGCCACTGATTTGAATTACCTACTGTTTCCAAACCAACTGCCCAAAATACATGTCTCCCATCCAGGTCAATATCTGAAGTCTGCTTTTAAAAATAAGTGGAACATGGAACTTCCAATTAGCATGAACATCTTGTTGTTAACAGACTATTAGATTGTCTGGAGTATCAAGTTTATTTTTTTCATCATTTTGAAGCTTTTAGTTTGAAGATATGACTATGTTGTAAATCAGGTATTCCCTATATCTATCACTGTTATAATGGGGTTTTACTGTACATGCATGTACAATACCATAAAAAGAAAATCTAAGAGGATGAAAATTCAAAATTAATTGAAACTACCGGTATGTCATTGCTAAATTCCTTTAGGATTAATGATGCATGTATCTTTAATTCAGAAAAAAATCTTTTTAAGACTAAATGTAAGCATTCTCAATGAAAGCAGATATATAAATTTGAAGGTATGCTTATTGAATTGTGCAGACACAATTCAGAAAGAAGTCTGCTACAAGAGCTGGTTTATAAGAACCTGCAGATACACACACACACAAGGATCTCTGCACTGTCATTACTTCTACTTGTTTGCATGTCTTCAGATTTTTTTTCTTGTTTGCTACTGTTTCTTTTCTGGAAAAAATCAATACAAGTATAGATTTTTGGGTCAGTATTACTGTCTTAAATCCCCTGAAAGCTGTAATTGATTTTTTTTCATACATTTTGAATATTCCTTGGACAATAATTGTGTTGAGAGTCCTAGTGCACACACACTGAAGAATCCTTATTTCCATTAATGAATAAAAGTTTCTGAGTTTACAAGAGACTTAACACTAGATGCTTCATTAAGATCAGCTTGTTGAAGAAAAATCATCAATTTTTGAAATGCATGGTATTTAAAAAAAAAAAAACAACAACATTAAGCAAAGATTTAATGAGTACACATAATCAAAATGGGTCATCAATGACAGAAATAACAGTGTATAATTTATCAATATAAATGTGGTCAAATGTTAAGATCAGGGTAGTTTAACTCACATGGTACATGCATGCATAGTTTACCAATTACATAAATATATAACATTTACCAATCTCGGTGTTAGAGTTGAAAGTAAAGCTAGGTCAAAATGGCAATCCAGTGTGAGAAGTTAAAACTTTTCCTCAATGTGGAACATGCTTAAATTTAATCTACTCAGACTTCAAGGCCAAGGTCAAGGCCATAATAATCTTTGATAATGGTTTTCAACCATTTTGAACCTTGTTTACTTCCACATAATGTTAAAAGAATCTATTTTTTTATTTGCTTGTGTCAAGAACAGGGCAAGGAAAATCACATGGCAGCAGTATTTAACACATCTCATCCTGATTTATCAAAATGTGAAGATTCCAGTATGAATAGGTTACAACAAACAACCAGTACAAAACTGTTAACCCAGATGGATGGGACAAACCAATAAATGAGGATTTACAGATCATATGTAGAATGATTATACTTTGATCATTTCCTCTGAAGGTATGCAGTGTTTTGCAAACATAAGCTATGATTCCTCTTAAGCCAAAGATTACCTGATGACAGAGAAGTGCCTTTCACTTTTCTTATTTTTGTAAATCTCAGATGTCCTAATGAAGTAAGTTAAACGATTTCCACCTAGACACTGATTCTGCATCTGATGACGTTAGACTTCTACACAGAACAAAATGTCATCCTATTATACCTCATTACAATGATAATAATGACTCTTTATCTACCTACAACCAGATACCCAGACACCAACCATAGTTATTAACCTGTTAAGGTCTAAAAACAATCTCAAAACTACCATCAATTTGGGCTGCATCAAGGTCAATATTTCTACTGTCAGACCACAGATTATCAATGTCTATATGACCCAACATATCTATGTTTTTTTATGACTGATCACAGGATATTAGATAAAGTTCATTTGACAGAAGATTTCCTAGAGCAAACTTAAATCATCTGAAATGTGCGGATTGCACTTTTTCGATACAATTACTGTCCAATTAAGGTGTCATTAGAAAGCAATCCCGATGCTCTGACAACATCAGGGCACATATTTGTGGATCTCCACATATTTATGTTCATATCTGGAAAAATATTGTACTTGGATCAATAGAAAGCTGCCATTAAAGCTACTAGTCTGTCATTAGTTGTATTGTCCAGCTACTGCTCAACATAAAGGGAAATTCTACAATTGTCAACGGCTCTATCTGCCAAAAACAATTAGGGAGAAAACAATGCAGCAAATGCTAACATTCCAGCACAGTGTGGAAGGGTATAGAATTATCTAAAATTCTATAATATTAAAGCCTGGTAATATTATATCACACAAAAGCAGTTAAAGATTTTCTCTCCTATCAGAACAATTTCCCCATCAAAAGTCAATATTTATTAAATTTCAGTTTCCCCTCAGCTGAAATACAACATTCATTTCTTTCTATACTAGCATAGAAACTGGTTTAAAATTTGATTTGAAAAAGCAACTTGACTTTAATGATTTATTGAAGATCATTTATTTCTTACTTGATTATTGTTAATAGCTATTTCTATCAAATAAATTCTGATAAAGGTACCAATATTTAAGTATGTAATACTTAATAGCGCTCCTATTGGATTCATTAATTGACATTGGTTGTGGATATGTTTTTTAAATTACCGGTAAATATCACTGTGGAAGCTAAAGATTCTTGCCTTCATACATTTTCCAAAATGAAACAAAGATGAACTCTAAATATTTTGCAAGATCTTAATACAGGTAATTACGATATTTGTGTGCCTTTTTTTAACCGTTCAATTCCCTTAATTTCATTTTTTTTTAAATTATATAAATATATATGACAAGAATTTTGAAGCTTATATTTACTTCATTTTTTTTTCAATTTCTTCCAAGCCTTTAACTGATAATACATACACTTATAACATGACCAGAGCATGGGTCAGTAAAGAGATAAGTTCAAAACAGTATTGTACCTTACTTTGCCAAAACTCTCCCCAAACGAAACAAGAGTTTGGGTG